TCTCGACGAAGGCGTAGCCGCGCGGCTTCCCTGCGGACGGGAGGGAGGGTGGGTTCGGGTACCGTGGGGTAGGGGGAGCCGGGGCAGGGCCTAGGGGGCGGCGGCGAGGGAGGCGGAGGAGGGGGGTCGGAGGAGGGCGGGGAGGGTGGTGGGGGCGACGGCGGTGGGCGGTGGCGGGGGAGAAGGCGGCGGAGGCGACGGCGGTGGGGGCGGCGGTGGAGGCGGCGAGGGCGGCGAGGCGGCGACGGCTGCGGAGGAGAGGGCGGTGGGGGCGACGGCGGTGGGGGAGAGGGCGGTGGCGGAGACGGCAGTGAAGGTGGGGGCGGAGCCGACGGTGGCGGCGACGGCGGCGGGGAGGGTGGGGGCGGCGAGGGTGGGGGCGGCGAGGGTGGAGGGGTGGCTGGTGTCTAGGGTGAGAGCAGCGGCAGCCACGACGGAGGCAGGCGCGAGGGCGGCGGCGGTTTGGGAGGCGGCGTTGGGGCGGGAGGCGGCGTCGGCGGCGTCTTCCTGTCTCGGTGTTAAAGCAGAGGCGGATGCCACGGATGGGGCCGACCTGCTCGAACTCCTTCTTCAGCTTCGCCTCGGTCGTGTCGTATCTGCGCCACGGCGGAGCGTGCCGCCTGTGTCGAGGCCGCCAGTGAGATGGTGAGCGGGTGACCAATTTGGGCGCACGCTGCGCTCCATATGTCGGACGGGCAAGTCTCGTGCACCTTCGGGCTGGCCGGAGCGCGAGCGCACGAGGCGGCGCGGCGGCCGGCGGGGTCCAGCGGGGATGGGTGGGTTGGGGGGGGGGGCGCGGGGGGCGGCGGGGGCGGCGCAGCTCCGCGCGCGCCTGATGCGCGCGACGAAGAGCGTCTTGTAGGGGTCGCCCTTGATTTTGCTGTCCTCGTTCGGGTCGTACGCCTCGACCTTCGCCTCGAGATCGGCCTCGCCCTTGGCCTTGCGCTTCTCGGCCTTGCGCGCGCGGCGCGCCTCCTTCGACTCTACCACAGCGGCCGGCTTTGGCGCTGGCGTCGCGGACGGCTCCTCGAACTCGGAGACGAGGTGCGCGACCGTGCCGTAGCGCGGCATCTTGCGCTTCTCAGGCGCCGGCTTGAATGGGGGCGGCGGGCGAGGCGCGAAGAGCGCGAGAATCGACGGCGGCAGCGCCTGCGCCACGGCGGAGGACATCGCACGCGTTTTCTGAATTCTTTTGTCAAGGGGGGCGCCAAAAGAACTCCCTGCCATTGAGAGGGCAGTAGGTGGGCGAGCTTCAGGCACGCTCATCTCGATCGTCAAGACGTTGCTACGCGCGGTCTTCCGCGGGGGGAGCTGCGTCGACGGGTGCGGGACCGCGGCGCAGCCAGTGCCGCGGCGAGGCCTCCGGCTGTTTGCGGCGGGCGGCTTGCTGCTCGCTGCATGGCGAAAAACTCGTCTCGCCACACGCCAAGGGCTTATGCTCTGGCGAGACGTGAGGCGCATGCGCCCAGGAGGGGAGGGGGCATGTGTAACGACACTGCTAGAGATGCCTTTCGGGGCCCAGAGATAAAACTTCTGTGATGCCATGCGTGACCTAGTAGTGTCCCCAGCTATGGGCGTGTCCACGTTGGAGCCAGGTGTGGTGTGGGCGCGAGAATAGCTCCGCCGTTCATGGAGGCAACCGATGCGAGTCGACTGGTGTGTGTCGTCGTGGTTTCGTATCAAGAATTCTTTCTCCCTGCCATTGCGCGAGGCGCTCACGCATCCCTCCCTTGGGTTGTGTGTTTTCTTTCTTTCTTTCTTTACGCACCCACGCTCCTCTCCTTAAAATCCCTGTGTGGTGGCGGCGTGCCGTTCTCCCATCCCTCCCTTGGGTTGTGTGTTTTCTTTCTTTCTTTACGCACCCACGCCCCACACGGCCACGCCAGCGCACCCCCCCCTCTTGCACCCTCTGTGGGCGGCGCGTTTCGCGACCCGTACCCAATGGTCAATTGTATTAATATTGTCTATTCGTGGCCATGTGTGCAGAGCCGTCCACCGGTGCGACCCGGCCACGCCGGTCGCCCCCCGACTCGTACAGTCGTACTCGACTGTCGTACTGTATCATGGCACTGGAATGCTGCGGAAGGCCGCCTCGAGCGCCTTGAACGCCTCCTGCGCGCGTGGCTCCGACGTCTTGTCGGGGTGCACGCGCAGCGCGAGCGCGAGGTACCGCTTGCGGCACGCCTCGTGGCTCGCCTCTGGCGGCATCCCGAGGCACGCACGCGGCCCAAGTGGTGCGCCGCTCAGAACCGTCGTGATGAGCGCCTCGACGGGCGCATCAGCCACGCTGCCCACCATGCCGCACTCGCCAGCCGCACCGCCGCCGCTGGCCGCGCCGCCGCCAGCCGTGTGCGCCTCGGTGGCGCGCTCTTGCTGCCGCTGCCGCTGCTGCTGCTGCCTCGCCGCGGCCTCTTGCAGCAGCTCGCGCTGACGCATCGCCGCCAGCCGCTGACGCTCGTCGAGCTCGCGCTTCGCCTGCGCCTGCGCCGCCGCCTTCCTCTCCTCGGCCGCCTCCTTCGCCGCCGCCTGCCTCTCCTTCGCCGCCTCCTTCGCCGCCTCCTTTGCAGCTTTCGCCGCCTCCAGTTTCGCGACGTCCAACCCCATTGCCTTTCCGGCGCGGGCGTACGCCAGCGCCGCCTCCTCGGCCGTCGCAAAGCGGCCAAGGTACTTGAGGCTGCCGCCCTCCATGATTTGAGCCTTGTATGGCGTGACGCGGTTGCCCTCCTGGTATGCCACGCCGCGGAAGCCGCCGCGCCCCGCCGTCCGCACCAGCGTCAGGCCCTCGGCCTCCGCTTGCTGCACCGCCTCCGCCGCGCTCATACTCGGCTGCGGCACGCGCTCAGCCCGCGGCTCGCGCCCAGCCGCCTTTCCGGCGCGGGCGTACGCCAGCGCCGCCTCCTCGGCCGTCGCAAAGCGGCCAAAGTACTTGATGCTGCCGCCCTCCATGATTTGAGCCGCGTATGGCTTGGCGCCGCCCTCATGGTATTTAACGCCGCGGAAGCCGCCGCGCCCCTCCGTCCGCACCAGCGTCAGGCCCTCGGCCTCCGCTTGCTTCACCGCCTCCGCCGCGCTCATACTCGGCTGCGGCACGCGCTCAGCCCGCGGCTCGCGCCCAGCCCGCGGCTCGCGCCCAGCCGCCTTTCCGGCGCGGGCGTACGCCAGCGCCGCCTCCTCGGCCGTCGCAAAGCGGCCAAGGTACTTGAGGCTGCCGCCCTCCATGATTTGAGCCGCGTATGGCTTGGCGCCGTGGCCCTCATGGTATCCAACGCCGCGGAAGCCGCCGCGCCCCTCCGTCCGCACCAGCGTCAGGCCCTCGGCCTCCGCTTGCTGCACCGCGTCCGCCGCGCTCATACTCGCGCGCCCAGCCGCCTTTCCGGCGCGGGCGTACGCCAGCGCCGCCTCCTCGGCCGTCGCAAAGCAGCCAAGATGCGTGCTGCTGCCGCCCTCCATGATTTGAGCCGCGTATGGCTTGGCGCCGTGGCCCTCATGGTATCCAACGCCGCGGAAGCCGCCGCGCCCCTCCGTCCGCACCAGCGTCAGGCCCTCGGCCTCCGCTTGCTGCAGTGCCGTCCGTTGGCGCTTTGATGCCGGCTCGTCGGGCGTCGGGGAATTTGGGCGTGGCTCCATGTACATTGTCCGCGTCCACAGCAGATGTGTGCGATTTCGAGCCGCGGTTGTGCGCTTTCGAGTCCCTTATACTCGACAAACTCGAGTAAAATGAACTCGCGGGTGTTTACTTTAAGGCCCTTGCCCTGCGAACGCGCACCCCCGGGGCTAGGGCTCTCTAGCCCGTAACCCGATACCGATCATCCGGCCCGCTGGATGCGCTTCTCAGCTCACCGGCCCTGGATGTGAGGTTGCCGACTGCACTCCAAGTGCTCCAAGTGCGGGCACGGGACGCGGCACAAACGGGGCACAAACGCCAGGCTACAAAGACGGGGAGGCACGTAGTGACGCAGGGGAGTCTAGGCGACGGCGGCGTCCTCCGACGCCGCGGCGAGCCTGAGCTCGGTCGCAATCTCTTCCGCCGCCGCGAGCTGCAGCGCGACTGACATGCGCTGGGCCTGCAGCGACAGCCACGACCGCGTCAACCAGCTCGCCTCGTCCTCGTCGACTGTCTGAGCTTGTGCCTCTTGGGTCCGTGGTTGTGTTTTTGTGTTCTCTCGAGGTTCTCGAGGTGGATATCCTTTGGCCGCGTTGGGTTTTTGTGTGAAGAGCTGACCTTTTCGCAAGCCTCGTGCAGTACGCGATACCGAGAGCTGGGGGAGAGGCGCGCCACGCCAAGGGGGACGAGTGACGGGAGGGGGAGAGTAGTGTCTTTCGCAGGGTAAAACGCAATTTTTTTTTGACTAGCGCGAGCCGCCGCTCGTGCAGCGCCAGCGGCTGCTCCTCCTGCTCGTGCTCTTGTGAATGTATGCTCGGCATCGCTCAGCGCTTGCTCCATCGGGACGTCGGTCTCTGCCACCGGAGCGGCGGCCTCGGGCTGCGTGGCCGGGTCCGCAGCTTCGCCGACCTCTTCGGTGGGAGGGTCGGCGGCGGGCGGGTCGGCGGCGGCGCCGTCGGCAGCGGCGTCCACTGGAGCAAAAGACAAAGTCCGAGAGGAATACTTACGAGAGATCACGTGGCCACAGCGGCCGGCGCGCGGCGGCTTCCTGAGATGCTGGTACAACCACGTAGAGGGTGTGCGGACCATGAGTTGACGGAAATCGGGGGACGCGACCCACTTCGCCACAGACGGTCCCGCGCCTCGCCGCTATCGTGACGGGGACACACCCTGCACTGTCCGCTGTGTCGCCGTCTTTGTCCGGAGTGAAAAGTCCAACGCGGACGCTCGTCGGTGACGGTGTCCTCCAACCTGCGCCGCGCTCGGCGAACCTCGACAGCGCCTTCGGTGGCATGCAGCTCTTTGCGCCTGAAGCTTGGGGAGAGCAGCTCCTCTGCTGCTCACACGCTCTGCACAGATGGCACAGCCTACTGTGCGGCTGCCACAGCTGTGACAGCGATGGGATCGCCCTCACTGGCCCTCAGTCACTTGTCGTGCTGCGGCTTGTGTGAGCGACACTGGCTCGGCGACTGCCGGCACACTGTGAGACACCATGGGTGTGAGGTAAAACCGCGCTACCAGCGCTTGGTCACATCGGCCCCGAGGTCAGATCCTTCTACTCTGTTAGTGACAACACTTGTCTACTGGCCGTACGTTTAAAAGTGGCATGGGTGGTTTGTGGTTACAACGGCTCTAGTGGGCATTGTACGGCATACAGTGTACAGCAGGGAGCTGGTATTAGTTCTGTTTCGCAACCCCGTCACCACACACACATCCCGCGCTCACACGCCGTCACGCTTTGCGCGCGCCGCCCAGCGCTCGCGCAGCCTGCTGTCTAATAACGGCACGGCGCGCTCCCAGAGAGCGCCGTCGTGCTCGACTGCCCGTGAAAAGGCGTCGATGCCTGTTCACAGCAAGTGCCTGTGTAAAAGCACACGCTTGGCACGATTCTGAGTACGACCGCTGACGACCCTTGCGGGCATAGGGTACGAGGCGCAGCAGCGCGAGCCCGGGCGTCACCGACGGCTCGAGCGAGTCGGGGAAGACGTTGCCGTGGAGGTGCTCGTCGCTGCAGAAGATGACCTGCGGAGAGTCAGAGGTGTGACGACAGGGAGGGCCGGCAGAGTGGCAGTGCGTGACGCGAGGCCGTGTGTGTGTTGTGCTTGTTTGCCGTGTGTGCCAGCGGCCTTCCAAGAGCAGGATGCTCTACACGTCTTCAGCATCCTGGCAAGACACGCACCACGCACACATGATGCGGGCAGGCGGTCTGCACGCGCACGCAGCGCCCGCCGTCGCCGCGCTCGAATACGATCAGGTCGGAGTGGGGCATCGGCCGCGCCTCCTGCCCCTGCGGCAGCTCGACGCCCTCCTCTAGGTGAAGGGCGTAGATGAGCGGGCAACCGTGCAGCCGGTGCGCGTCGTCGAAGTCGAGGTGAAGCGCGCACAGCTGCAGCCTAATGGGAAGCGCGTGGCGCGCTCTCGGGGTAGCCGTTCACGCATATAGTGGCCGGCGGCTCGCCCCCGCCGCGGGTTGAAGCGCCCGCCAGCCATTCGGCGGAGGCGGCCGCCGAGACGGAGCGCGAGCTGGTGCGCCGCCAACGAGTCCGAGGCATCGTCGCCGTCGCCGCCCTCGAGGCCGCGCCGCTGCTCCTCGTGCGACGGGTACCTACTCGGGACCCGCGAGGCGTGAGGAAGACGTCGCTCACACGTCCCGCTCCCGCTGTGACGCGGGCGAGGGACGCATGAATAGGTCCTTCACGACGGGGTGGAAGCGAGCCGCGGACGCCATCTCGCGCGTCGTCTCGGGGAAGACCTTGCCGATGTGCTCGGCTACGCGGCCCATCAGCGGCGCCGCGCCTTGCACCTGTGGCGTGCGACGGTCGCGGACGGGAATGCGGATGGGTCGCGTCGCTCACGGGTGCAGAGGGCGGGGTGGGAGTTTCACAACTGCAGCTATGGCTCGGCCACCCAACATTGGGGGGGGAGACTGGAGGAGCCAAAGGGGGCAAGAGGCGCGGTGCCGACTGTTCGGGGAGAGATGGGGAGAGATGGGGAGATATGGGACGGTGTGCGAACCGCGTCCCGAACGCCAGGCCTGAAGGTGTCGAGGCGCGTGTACGGGACGACGACCGACGCGCCCTCCGTGCCGTCGGCACGCGTGCGTCGGAGCCTGCGGGTCACGTTGACCGAGCTCTGCATGCACCTGCGCCACCGCGGGCCGGGTGTCTTAGGCGTGAGAGCCAAGAGGTGAGCTACAGCTACGGGAAGGCGCACCCGTTGCCAGCCACGACATACCCCCCGCCCGTCTTCTGGTCGGGCTGGAAGGAGCCCTTCTCGAGCGCATCGGCCACCCCCAGCACCGCCTGGTCGGCAGCAGCCTTGACCGCGCCATCATGGGCAGGAAGAAAACAGATCTTGCACATGAGCGCACCGCCAGCGGCAAAGACCTTCCACGCCGCCTCCTCGCCGGCGGCGGGAGGCGAGATGAACGGCGCCTCGAGGTCCTCCTCCACGTTCTCTTCGGTGAGCACGCGCGCAGCCTTGCACCCATCCGAGCTCACCGCGCGCGGGTCGGGGTGCGCGTTCAGCGCGGAGCTCTCAATCGGCTGATCCGTCGCCTCGTCGTACACGGTGCCCGCGACGCGGTTGCCATAGCCGTCGACGATGGTGCCCCTCTGCACCGCGCGGACAAAGTCGAGCCTGGGCGCCTGCTGCGCCAGCCGCAGGGTGCGGACGCCGTCGGCATCTTGCGACCACGCCGGCGGGTCTCGAGGCGGCTTGGGCGGCCGCTGGTCCAGCGGGACGCGCCGGCCGTAGTCCTCGAGGGCAAGCTCCGGCTCCTCAGCTCTCGACGCCTCGAGTGCCTGCGCCAGCTGCTCGCGGAACGACGGCATGCGCTTCAGCTGGCAAGCGTCGCAAAGCCATTTGCCAGAGGGCACAGAGGCGAGCGGCGGGCTGCAGCAGAAGGTGTGCTGCGCCACGCTGCACTTGAGGCCGTCGCAGAGCAGCAGCGACTCGTCGCCGTCGTCGCGGCCGCACGTGCAGCAGACCGGCTCGTGTCGCCAGGCTGGACGTGCGGATGACGCGTCGGCGTCGGTAAAAGCGGCGCTCCCAGCCGCGCCGTCAGCGGCGGCGTCGATCGGGACGGCAGAGGAGGAGGAGGAGGCGCCAGCAGAAGCGCCGTCGGCGGCGGCGTCAGCCTGCACGGCAGACGAGGCGCCGGCTCCAGCCGAGGCTTCCGTCTGCATGTCTGCTGCCTCCGTTGCCTCCGTTGCCGCCTCACCTGTCTCTCCCACCGCCTCCCACACCTTGCCGCCGAAGTCGAGAAGATTCCTGCCCGCCTGTAGCCATGCCAGCTCCGCGCCCGCCGCTGCCTCGGCCGCGGGTGCCTCGACGCCGCCGCCATGCGGCTGCCAGCCGGCGCCGCGCTCGTGCACGCTGACGCCCTTGGTGGCGACGGCGCTCGCTAGCTGCTCGCCGCGCCGGAAGGCGAGCCGCTGAGACAGCGGGATGAGGTCGTACTCAGAGTCGGAACTGGACTCGCCCGAGAGTCGGTGCTCGGGGGGCGGGACGCCCGAGAGTCGGTGCCGCTCCTCCTCGGAGGAGCCGTCGGTCGGGGTTGAACAGGGCTCGGGCGGCCTCCTCTTCGGTGCGGGCAGCGACGGCGCGGCATCGCGGCCGCGCTTCCCCGGCTCCGGACACAAATGAAGGCCAGGGTGGTTATTTGCCAAGATACATCCGAACGTGTTGCAGAGGTGCAGCTCAGCCGTCAGACTGCAAGCCTTAGCAGGGCTCAACAATTCGAGTGTCGAGCCGGCAGTGCGTGATCGGAGCGCTGCAGTCGCTGCGAGCGACTCGGTGACGCCGAGGGTCGTGTCGGCGTTGCGTACACAGGTCTCGTTGACGTGCTCGTCGGTGCCAGGAGTCGTCTCGGCGCGTGAGCGGGATTCGTTCGCAGCGAGCGGCTCCTCGACGCCGCGATTTGGCAGGAGCCCAGCGTGCATCGATCGTTGCGAGGCCCTCCCCAGACCCCCCATCAGGTGCTCTGTGTAGCGCCTCAGGGTGTTCTCTCGAGGTTCTCGAGGTGGATATCCTTTGGCCGCGTTGGGTAGCGAGGATTGGTGTGCCTCAGGGTGAAGGGGGGGCATGCCGGGTCAAGCTGAGACTAATGGTCGAGGCACCAGGGGTCGTTCTTCGCCCACAGCAGCAACTGGCAGAGCAGGCGCAACGACGCCCGCCCGACTGGGTGGCATACACAGACGGGTCGGAAGACCTAGGGAAAGCAGGGTGGGCCTATACAGTACTCATCGGGGGCGACGCAATCGGCGATAGGGGCGCGTCGCTGGCGAGCGAGGGCTACGGGCCAGTTGTCACTTCGGCGGCGCACCCAGCTTACCTCGGCGCGCGAAGGCATACCAACAACACGGCGGAACTAACCGCCCTAGCCGAGCTCCTCCGGGCTCTCCTGTCCTCGTCACCGCAACGAGCGGGCTCACGCGGAGTAGTGCGGACCGACAGCGAGTACGCGGCGGCGTGCATGATGGGGAGGGTGACCCCCAAAACGAACAGACAGCTAGCGGAGCGCCTTCGTTCCCTCTGGCGACGCCTTCGCGCCAAACACACCGTGACGTGGAGGCATGTGGCGGGTCACAGCGGCAACAAATGGAACGACTACGTCGACGAGCTAGCTGCTCGCGGCAGGCAAGGTGACAGAGGCTCAAACGCTGCCGAGTGGGCGGACAACACCATCCCGACGGACACTCCCGACGAGGGGAGCGACACGGAAGGACCCGCCCCCGCCCCTCGGGGCGGGGGCCCCCGCCCCCCCGGGGGGCCCTTTGGGGCCCCTCCAGGGGGCGACCCCTCCGGGGAGGCCGGCCCTCCCCGTGCCGGTTCTCCCCAAGCAACCAACCCCGCCGGCAGCGCGAGCTGCCGGCCAGGGGTGGCGGGCGGGCGGGCGTTTTGAAAAACAGAAAACAGAAAACAAGAGGGGGCCCGGGGGCCCGAGACCCCACTGGGAGTAGAAGATACGCCCAAGGGGGCCCAAGGAGGCGGCGCGGGGAAGCAGCATCAGGTGAGAGCACCAGGAAGGATGGCGCTTAGGGTCGGCTTTGAACAAGGGTTTCCAGGTTTTAGATCAGTATTGGTGTCGGCACACATCCCCACATTGAGGTCAGCGGCGCGCAGTGCCTCTCTCGCAGGCTGATTTTGGCTGTTTTCGAGCTTGTTTTTGTTTTCAGTCTAGGGGGCCCGACCCCCTCAGAGGCGGCGGGCGGGCGCCCACAGATCCAGAGATCAAAAACGCTCGGCCTCGCTGTCTGGTGCTAATGGTTACGGTAATCGGTAAGGTAAGGTAAGGTAAACTTCTCCACACACACGAGGTGGTGGGGCAAGGGGGGGCAACCCTCGCGTCTCCACGTCTAACGACAGGAGCCCCACGGCATTTTCCATTTAAAGTGCAAGGCCCGGTAATCGGTAAACGGTATGTGTACGGCTCTAAGAGGCGGTGCGGGCGCCGGCCGGTGACGCCGGGCGCGTACACACGAACACGTAATAAGCTCCCCAGACCTCAAGAAAGGAATCAGACCACAGACCTCACACCAAAATAAGAAATGATTTAGCGAGAGCAAGTCCAGTGCTCATCGCGACGGCGCCGGTGCGAGAGCCATCGGGACCAGCAGTAGCGCCGCGAGGGCGAAAGCGCAGTTGAGGAGGAAGGGGAGGGTGGGGACGCCGGAGGCGGTGCCCGTGACGTAGAGCTGCCCATACACGAGCGGGCCGAGCACCTTGAGCCACGCCACCAGGTTGGCGCGGTCGCCCGAGAGCTGGCCCTGCGGGATCCCAAGCCGCGACCCCTCGGAGGTGATCATCGTCGAGGCGCCAAGCGTGCGCGCAGGCCCGAGCAGGCCGGCGGCGGCGCCGACCATCGCGACGCGCGGCACGCCCGTCGAGAAGCCCGCCCAGAAGAGGAGGGTCGAGCCCGTGCAGAGGAGTGTGAAGAGCTGCAGGCCGAGCCGCTTGATGAGCGTGGCGCTGAGCGTGTTTGCGATGACGCCCTGGATCGCGACGCCCGTGAACAGCCGCGACACCTGCGTGTTGGTCAGCTTCCAGTGGCTCAGGCAGAAGACCTGCAGCGTGTCCCCCATGAAGAGCGGCGCGAGGCTCAGTGCCATCAGCGCCGACAGCAGCCTGGTGCAGGAACATAAAGGGCTGAGGGTGGGAATACGAGTCTCTCACGCCAACGCTGTGAAGGACCATCGCAGGCGCGTCCATGCCGACGAACACGCGTCTTCTCGAGCGCTGGACAGGGGTTCGGTGCTTCGCATCTACGCTGTTGTGGCCTCATCAGGCGGCTCATTCCGAGGAGACGTGTGAAGGCGAACGGGTTGAAGCTGCGCAGCTGGAACGGGACGCGGTCGGCCAGAGGGAGAGACTCGCGGATGCCGTTCGCGCCGAGGAGCAGTCCGCACAGGCCCACGGCGGCGGAGGCTGCGTAGCGGTACCGCAAGCCGCTCGGCAGGAGGCCCGACAGCGCGACGCCGAGGCCAAAGCTGCCGTTGACGAGCGCAAAGAGGATGCCCGACGCCGCGGCTAGCTTGGCAGGCTCCGAGCGGAAGTTGTCGGCGAGGAGGGCACCGGCGGCGAGGAAGAAGATGCCGATGACGAGCGAGGCGACAAACTTGGAGAGCGCCACCAGCGCGACCGTCGGGTAGACCGCGGTGGCCAGGTTGGTGAGGCACGCCACGAGCATCGTGCCGACGACGACAGGCTTCCGACCGAGGCTGTCCGTCAGGCCTCCGAAGAATGGCGACAGCGCAATCTCGGCGGCAGCGCTGGTCGCGGACAGCAGGGTCAGCAGCCGCATGCCTCGTTCGCTACCAAGCGTATTCATCATGAAGAGCGCTGGCTCAAGAGTAACGAGCGAGATGCCCACGATGAAGACGAAAGCGGTCAACTGGAGTGGCAGCGCAGGCGATGATTTCGCCGGTGCTGCAGGACTCTCGGCCACGCTGCGGATGCTCGCGGCTCCGCCGCGGAGCCGCGCGGACGGCAGGAGAGGTTGGCGTCTAGCACACGCGCTGGCTAAGACGCACGTGCTGACCCTCGCTGCTGATGCAGGTGCTGCTGGTGTACGGACCTGTTGCAAGGCTGCCGTGGACGCAGGCGGGCTGGCGAAGAGTAGTGTGGTGAACACTAGAGCTCGGCTGGGCACCATCTCTCAGCTCGAGGTCTACGCTTCTGAACCGTGGCGGTGCCATTACCCAGAACACGGAAAAGAATTTACAAATTTGTGTTTACTTTAAGGCCCTTGCCCTGCGAACGCGCACCCGTGTCCCTCGCGGCCGCGCGTCAGGTGTTTCAAGAAAAAGGACACGCGGAGAATCCTGGCGCTCGTCCCATCCCCCCTTGGGTTGTCCGTTTTCTTTCTTTCTTTCTTTCGACACAGTCAGTTGCATTCGCCTTGCATATTAGATTAATTTGCATCGTCCCCTACCTTCACGGTACCCAACCCCAAGTGTGTAGAAGGGGGCGCTCAATCGTGGTTCACCCCTCTACTATGCGGCCCCTCCACCCGCGCAACCTGGAGAGCGACATTACCTTCATGCAGAACGGCGGCGGACATACGATGGACACGATGCGTGAGCACGTGGAAAGAAGGCTGTCGTGCTCGGCCAAGGTGCTCGCGCTATTGAGCTCAAATTCCGACGCGCCGGACGCGAGACTGCCGGACCCGCTCGTTTTCGTGACGGGGGAGCGATCTCTGCCCACGAGCGTCTTCCTGCCTCACGCGTTGGAGGGCTCGGCCGACAACATCTCCGCCGCGGACCTGTGCGCCTGGGCGCGGGTGTGCTCGGCCTGGGCCGGGTGGGTGCGCCGCCTGCTCGCCGACCCCTCGTCGCTTCGCTGGCTGTGGGCCCGGCTGGTTGAGTCCCACATCCAAGAGGCCGGCATCGCGTGCCTTCGCCACCCTGAGCTCTCGACTCGGTCTACCCTCCGCGTGCTGCTCTCGGAGCAGCGAGAGAGGGACGAAGGCACGACCGCCGCGATGGATGCCCTCGCTGGAGAGGATGTCGAGATGGCCGACCCGTCGAAGGTCTGGCCGTCCGAAGTCGCAGGAGGCGTGGCCGACCTGTTCGCCTTCTTCGCAAACTTTTCCGACGCGCCCGACATCGAGTACGAGGAGCACGCGCGGCCCCACGGCATGCTGTCGGACCTCGCTTTCCGGCCGTACCTCGGTGCGCAAGGCGAGTACGCTGCCCCGGAGGCGGCTTGGGAGACGAGAGACATGGTGGTTGGCCTGTGCGACATCGTCCGCGAGTACTCGGAGTGGGTGCGCGAGTCGCAAGACGTCAGCCAGAACCTCATCCTCAGCACGATCTTGCTGCCGCAGCTGCACAGCATCATGCGCAGCCTGATGACGTTTCTCGAGATTGACGACACGTCCCAGCAGGATGGGCATCCTAGATCTCTCACCGTGCGCGCTTCCTCCCTCCACAGCACATGCACCGCGCGGGGCATATGCAGTTTGTCCACTGCACCCTCTTCTCGCCATCGCAGGACGAGGCGCATCTCCGCGCAGCAATCACCGACGACAAGGCGGCGAAGCTCGCCGCCGCGCTGCGCGGCTTTGCCTGCTTCTTCCCGTCGCGCGCAGACGTGGAGCGCACGGCCCGCGGCCGAGCGATCCACGCCGGACGCTTCGAGGAGGTGCTCGTGTCGGACCCTGCGGGCGGCTTCCGCTTCCGCATGCAGGAGCCGGGCGCCTTCCTCCCGAGCTTTCTGCGTCGCCTGCCGCAATGAGACACACCCGGAGGAGGATGAGTGAGCCGATGTCGAGGCCCGGGACGGGTGGCCGGGGCTGGAGTCGTCGACGGCTCGCGCTGTGCTGTTCGAGCGGCGAGCCGGCCACGCACTGCATCGGCCAGGGTCGGGGGAGGGGCGGGGGATGGCGCACGCATGCGCGCAGTCAGTCAGCTAGTCAGTCAGAGACACGCCTCCGCCACCGGCTGACGCCAAAGGCATCGGCGCGCCACAGCCATCGGGAGACCAACGGCATCGGCCGCCTCTGTGTCCGCAGACTGACTCCTGCTTACACAATCGAATGCGGTATGGTGGACGCAAGACGGGCGGTGGCGGTCATGTTAAGTAAAAAAGAAAAATGCGGCGCCTTCTCTCTGAAGCCTGCCCCCGCCCGTGCACGCCCAAAACAACACAATGAAAGCCTGGCGAGTGGAGAACACGCCTCACTTTTTCACAGGGGGGATCCGTCTGGAATGCTTTTCGCTGCGCATGCTCGAGCCCCCGGCGAGGGCTTGTGCTGTGAACGTAGCAGGCGTGGTCTCTACCCGCCAGGTTCAAAGCGTCATCGATGGCTTCCCTTCGCCTCTCCCTTCTCCTCTCCCTTCTCCCCGCGACCGCGGCGGCCACGCGGGGCGAGCCCGGGTTCGTCGGGGGGCACGCCTCCGGCTCGGACGTGGCCAAACTCGCCGCGACCGGCCTGAGCGGCAGCGTCGTCGGCGGCGGTGGCAGCGGCGGCAACCAGGCCTCGGCGGCGGCGCTCTCGACGACCGTCCTGGAGAGGCGGGACGGGCTCCCGTGCGCGACAAACGGCGCGGCGACCGTCCTGAGCGGCAGCGTCAGCATCGGCTTCTTCGCGAGCGCCTTCTCGTGGCTCGCGGCGGGTCCGCCGAAGGTCGCCGCCGTAGCCGCCGCCGTCATCGGCACGGTGATGTGGCGCCGCGACTCAAAGGCCCGCCGCCTCGGCTGGTCCAGCCTGCTCGGCATTCTTCTCTGCTTGGCCACCGTCTCTGGCGGCTTGGTCACCGCCGCTAGCGGCGCCGCGCTTGTCGCATCCTCAGCCGCGCTGCCAGACGTCGCATCCGCGCTGCCAGACGTTGCTGCTCTCCCCGCCGAGCCACCGAGCACGCCACCCGCCGCCCCGCCTGCCGCCGCCTCGCCGGCGGCTCCTTTGCCGGCGGCTCCTCTGCCGGCGGCTCCTCTGCCGGCGGAGGAGTGCTATCCGGGCATCCCCGGTGGGCTGGTTTGCCCGCCCGGGCACTTCCTCGGCTTTGGCAACAAAGGCGGGTGCCGGACCACGACGTGCGAGACTGGCCAGTACACCGCCCTCCGGGGCATCACCACATTTAACGCGTGCGCGGAAAGGTGCCTCCGTGATGCCAGCTGCAAGGCGTTCGAGTGGTTCCCTCGACCCCGCGGGCTGCTCCCTTCCAGGGCACCGTGCGAGATCCACCGCGATGTCCCCGTGCAAACAGCGGCCGACTGCGGGGAGACTGGCCTCAACCTCGACCACTGTTGCTGCGTCAAGGCGCCCCCCTCGCCCTCGCCGCCGCCGCCGGCTCCGCCCTCGCCGCCGCCGCCCCCGCCGCTGTCGTCCTCGCCGCCGCCCACGCCGCCGCCTCCGGCACCGCCGCCGCCTGCCCCTCCGCCACCCACGCTGCCGCCGCCGTCGCTGTCGCCCTCGCCACCGCCATCCGGCTCGCCGTCGCCGCCGCCGCCCACTCCGCCGCCTCCGTCCGCCTTGCCTGCGCCGCCGCCGTCCGCCTCGCCCTCTCCGCCGCCGCCGTCCGCCTCGCCGTCGCCGCCGCCGCCTCTGCCGCCGCCTCCCTCCGCCCTGCCTGCGCCGCCGCCGTCCGCCTTGCCCTCTCCGCCGCCGCCGTCCGCCTCGCCGTCGCCGCCGCCGCCTCTGCCGCCGCCTAGGGGAACAACGAGACACAAATGGGACAAGCGCCACTAACTAACTACCTGCCTGCAGCAGAAGCACATCGAGGAAGGAGCAGCTCATCAGCTCATGCCAGACTCGCTGATTGAGATGACTATCACGGCGCTCTTTGGGTCAGACCTGTGCGTTACGTCACACCAATTCTCGCTACCCAACGCGGCCAAAGGATATCCACCTCGAGAACCTCGAGAACCTTGCCGATCCACCCGCAAATGAACGATCCACCCGCCATGAGGTGCAATGAACGACCGAACGCCGGTTCCGCCAGCATTGGCTAGAGCACGCGGCTGGGGCTGGCGATGAGGAGGCGGCTACATCGCATCACCCTACTTGTATGCCTTCTAGAGCAGCAGATGGGGGAAACGGCACCCTCGCCGGCACCCTCACCCTCGCCGTCGTCGCGCTGTGCGGCGTGGTGCGAGAGGCATACCGCCCCGAACAAGTGCACATGGGCAAAGTGCGACGGCTGTTCATTCTGCGTGGACCCTCCCCCGCCTCCCTCACCCTCGCCGTCGTCGCGCTGTGCAGCGTGGTGCGAGAGGCATACCGCCCCGAACAAGTGCACATGGGCAAAGTGCGACGGCTGTTTATTCTGCGTGGACCCTCCCCCGCCACCCTCACCCTCGCCGTCGTCGCGCTGTGCGGCGTGGTGCGAGAGGCAAACTGCCCCAAACAAGTGCACATGGGCAAAGTGCGACGGCTGTTTATTCTGCGTGGAGGACCCTCCGACTCCGCCGCCTCCCCCGTCCTCACCTGCTGCCTGTGCCGCGACAACCATGTCTGGCGACAGCGACATTCGGCTGCAGGGTCCAGACTTTGCCACCTCGGCTGCAGCCACCCCACGCCCCAATATAATCGATATGCTTCTCGACGACGCGGCGCCATCTGTGCATGTGCACGCTCTTGGGGCCGCTGATGCCGACACGCCTCGCATGGATCAGCTTGTGGCCTCTGGTGTCAAGCTATCATCCTATTACGTCCCTCAGCCTCTTCCTATCTCTCTTCGCAGTCTCTCGCCGATTCTCGCTGCAACCTTCATGCCACCTCGCGGTCGTCCCACTCTCGTCGTTCTTTCCCTTGTCACTTCCTCCTCTGATGGGAGGTGAGTTTGGCCGGCGTCGCGCACGTCTCTTTCTTTTTTGCGAGGGAGTTGCTCTGTAAGATTCTTTTTTGTGAGGCACCAAGCGGACACTCTTCATTGGCTCCGGCTTGACGATGGCGCCAGCGCTTCTGCTAGCCAGCCTCTCCTTCTCACCGTCGTCGCGCCCGCTCGCGACGCACACACGCGCAGCACCTGCGCAGGCAGCGCTCTTCGGCCCAGGTGAGCGAACGCAAAGCAAGCTCGCCGGACAATAGATAGCACGCGTCGCTCTCTTCTGCTTAATGGGACTCGTAGCATCGCCGCCTGGCACGCCGTCCGAGCAATCCAGCCTCGCCGCAGGCGGTCTCTTCACCGCGATCGGCGGCCTCGGCTTCGCCTCCGCTGCCGACCGCTACGTCGACCCGCTCGACGCTCGCGGCCTCGAAACCTACTCGGGCGGCGTCACCTCGCGAGTCTGGTACACCCCTCCGACCGAGTGGAACGACCTCCTCTTTGCGCTGAACCACGAGGCTTCCGAGACACTTCACGACCTTTCACAGACGCCTCCTCCCTCTAGGGCTTGCGCCGCCGCTCTCGAAACTTCTCGGAGCCGTCTTGCAGGCGATCCGGCACGAGCTGCTCCGCCTCGAGCGGATCACCGAGGCGATGGTCGGCGGAGAACGGCGCAAGCCGACCGACTCTACCTTCAAGTCGCTCGGCCAGTTCTTCGACGAGTGCGTCACGGCGCTCCGTCGAATCGTACAGGTTTTTGAGCCTTCTCGGAAGCTTTTCCGTGAATTTTCCTCTAGGTACGTTGCGGCGCCGATCCGCTTCCAGCACGCCCTCGAGGATGAGGCGAGACCTATGCGAACATGCCGCGACTGTTCCGCGACGCTCACCAAGACACTTCCGAGACACTTCCCGTGGCTTGCTGGCTCTCTGCCCATCAGCAACCCATCTGTGCTACAACAGGTGCTCTTCCCGGCCATCAAGGCGGCGGGCGTGGAGGTGCCTGCCGCGATTACAAGGTGCGGCGGTGCCCAAGCAAGAAAAAGAAAGCTGCCGGCGGCCCTGAGGGAGGGAGGGAGGGAGAGGGGACACACACACACACACACACACACACACACACACACACACACACACACACACACACACACACACACACACACACACAGAGAGAGAGAGAGAGAGAGAGAGAGAGAGGGAGAGAGGGAGGGAGGGAGGGAGGGAGGGAGGGAGGGAGAGAGAGAGAGAGAGAGAGAGAGAGAGAGAGAGAGAGAGAGAGAGAGAGAGAGAGAGAGAGAGAGAGAGAGAGAGAGAGAGAGAGAGAGAGAGAGAGAGAGAGCGAGAGCGAGAGCGAGAGAGAGAGAGAGAGAGAGAGAGAGAGAGAGCGTGCAGGTGCCTGCCGCGATTACGAGGTGCGGGTGGCGGCGGCCGCGACGGTTCCACGTAGTGGCTGATCGGTGTATAGCCGTTGGAATGGCGACTGTCAACTTCTAGGCGCGAGGTGGCGGCGGAGGCGGTGCATGCGTTCGAGCCGGGCATCAACACGTACTGGCTCTTCACGCCCTTTGCCGAGGAGGACTTTGGAGTGCCAAAGGCGAAGGGGGCGGCGGGTTCCGGCGGATCTCGGCGGATCTCGGCGGATCGATCTCGGCGGAACTTGGCGGGTCACGGCGGATCTCGGCAGGTCTCGGCGGGTCTCGGCGGAACTTGGCGGATCTCGGCGGGGGTCTCGGCGGATCTCGGCGGACCTCGGCGGGTCTCGGCGGAGCTCGGCAAATCTCGCGCAGGCGTGGGACGACGCCGAGCTGGACGAGTTCAAGGCGATGATCGAGGAGGGCAACAGCGGGTCGAATGGGCTCGAGGACACGGAGCGCGCGACGGCAAAGGCGGCGGCACGGCTGGCCGCTCTCGTCGGCAGCCTGCTGGAGGCGAAGGAGAGGCAGCTCTGCCCGCTGATTGCGCCGCTCGGCAAGACCTTCGCCGCCGACCTGCAGGGCAAGGTGGAGGAGTGGGCGGCGGGCAACACGCGCGCCGCGCAGATGGAGGAGATGGCCGCGTGCGTGCCGATGGCGGGCGCGGGGGGGCCTGCTGGCCCCGCCAAGCGCGCGAAGCTCGTCGCCGGCGCGAGATCTAGCCGAGATCGAGCCGAGATTCAGCCGAGATTCAGCCGAGATCGAGCCGAGATCGAGCCGAGAGATCGAGCCGCGAGAGCAGTTGTCTCGTGTGAGGGGTAGTGCAGGGAGGCGTCAAGGTATTGCGGCTGCTGCGCGTGCGGTGGCTGCTGTGCAAGAGATACGAAAAGAGGCATGACACGGTTGCCATACGGCTTTAGGCGCTCTCGCTGCGCCCGAGACGGCGGCGCCCGCCCAGGCGCGCGACGGGTTCGACACGCTCTTCGACGGAGCAGGCGAGATACGCCGAGGCACATGCACATGCACATGCACATGCACATGCACAGGCACGTGCACATGCACATGCACATGCACATGTCCATGCACGTGCACATGCAGAGCTGGGGTTGGAGAACTGAGTTCGGCCGGGACGTCCTACAGGCGCGTGGAAATCTGGCAAGTCGGTGCCGGAGACGCGCCTCTGAGCAAAGGCTCCAAGCGGAGGGGGCTGACTTTAGCCGCCCGACACCGTGCCGCCGGCGGGGGCGGAGGGTCGATGCATCTCCTCCAAGCCAGCCTCGCGGAGACGAGGAAGTAGGGAGAGGGGCGGCGGGGAGTCGGGTGGGCCATGGGGGTGCGGGGTATCAGGAAGCGCACACACGGACTGCGAGCTCTCTCTGACCACGACGGAGGGCGTTCTGCTCTTGCTCTATAGGCGTATCTCTTGTACTCGCAGTTGCATTTATGTCTAGGGCGTGTGTGTGTAGAATGTACACACTGGCGCAAGGGCCGTCAGTGCCCACGCGAGAGGCGCTAATGCCTGTTTTTGCGCCTTGTCCGGACTGGCTGCGTGGGCGGTGGTTCACGGTTGGCGTGCACCCGGTCTGAGCGATGCTCGAGTCGCTGCTCACAGCATCGCCCTCCTGCCCATGGCACTCTTGTAATTGTTGTCCTCGTTCGGCAATGGAGTGTCGTCACACGCGCGGCACAGGCCAGCAATCATCTGCATGTCAAAGGGTGGCGGCGGCACGGACCACACGCGCACGTGCTTGCGTGCGAGCGGGTCGCGCTCGATGAGGCCGATGAGGGCGTTTGCAAAATCGGCCAACTCGAAGGCGAGCGACACCTCCGATGTGTCCACCGGCGCGCCCGCGGTCGCCGTGTTCGCGCCCGCCACGTCGTCGCGCCGCAGGCTCGCCAGGAGGGAGCGTGAAATCACTGGAAGGCGGCTCAGTCGCTGCTGCGCACAGTTCATCGCAGCGGAAATATGGCGCTCCACGGCATTGAAGGCCTGCTCATTGAAGGCCGGGTCCTCTTCCTCCATCGCCTTCTCGTCCTTCTCGTCGAGCTCCTTCTGGTGGCACCGGCGCTGATAGAGCGCGTTAACCGCCGTGGGGATGTCGAACATGCCATCCGTGATGCCATCCGTGAGCGGCAAAAAGGTGACGGGCATCGGGCGGAAGCTCTGGTCGCCGATAATCGTGCCGCTCGGGCTGGCGAGCTTGCGGATCGCGTCGCGCAGATACGCGTCGGGCAGATCGCGCGGGATGAGGATGTTGAGCGCGCATGAGCCGCGAAGCGCCTCATTCTTGCCGTCCAGCATGATTGGCAATGGTGTGGCAGCTGCGCTGCCTGGCAAGCGCTTCCTGCCGCCGTCGATGGCGCGCACGATGGGCAGCACAAAGTTGAAGAAGTAGCCCATCGCGATGCCCGTGCCCGCCAGGCTGAGCGCGCGACGGTACTTACGCACGAGCGCCGCGACGTCCGCCTCCGGGTCGTCCTCGAGCATGAGGAGATTGTTGACAAAGTGCACGGTGCCGACGATAAATGCGAGCTCGAACAGCTCGCCACGCGTAACCGGCTCCGTGTCGGAGCGGAAGAGCAAGGCAAGCACGAGCAACACGAGCGCGATAGCGGCGCGCGTCACGTCCTTGGCGCGCCGGGTGCCGAGCCCAAGCAGCGCGGCCCACGTGGCGAGCACAAAGGGCAGCAGCGCGGCATCGAAGAGCATGAGACCGATGCTGCCCGCGAGTGCGTGGAAAGTCTCCTTATCTGCCTCTGCACCGGCGTGGGGCGCCATGCCCGCAAGCAGCCGGCCGTGCAAAGTCGCGCTGTCGGTCGCAATGTCCGTCACATTCGCTTCCTGCATGGCAGTGTAGATGGCGTGTGCCGCACCGCTCGCCGCAAGCGTCGCAAACAGTGCAAAGTCGGCGATGCGCCTGGCGTCCCATCCGCCGACCGGTCGGGGCGCCTCCTTCAACGGTGCTTTGAGCTCGTAGCACGCCCCGGGCGGCACGTCGTCGGCGTGTAAAGGTTGGGTGACCAGCATCGGGGAAATGCACAAGTTTTTATTCGGGATCCGATTTTTTGGACCAAGACGCCGTTCATGGAGACACGCCGTTGTTTTTTATGCTAAAGGTCCCTGCGCTCGGCACCGTCAACTCGGTGCGGCTCCCGTCAGATTCCACCTTTTAGAGCAGAAAGGCCAGTAGGTGCCTCCCTGTTTGTAGACATGCGTTTGTGCCCCGTTTGTGCCACGTCCCGTGCCCCCGAGTTCATTTTAGAAACTAGGCAAAGGGGAAAAAAAGCAGGGCGCTCGGAAAACTCGCGCCGCCGCGGCGTGTCTCCATCCGAGCCGCGCTCCTTGAGCTACTTGAGCACACTTTGCACTTTACAGAGGCGCGCTACGCCCCGAGGCAACGCCGCACCACCTAGCACGCCGCGCGGCCATCCGTAGCGCCTCGCGGAGCGCCTCGCTGCCGCGAGGACTCGGAACTGAAACGTGTGCAGACCGGTTGCGTCGCTTCGCCAGCGCCGAGCACCAAACCTCTCTGGGCTCGGCCCAGGCTCGCATGTGATCCCAGTGACTCCCGCATCGGTTTCTAGTCTGAGCTCACCGCCCACACGAGCTCGCCGTCTTCTCACTCCTCATGCCTGCAGCAGACTCACATGTCGTCCATCATCGAGAAAATCAAGAGCTACGACCTTCCGCCCGAGCTTCGCGAGGCGATCAACAAGCGAAACGACCTGCTCCTTGCAAAGTGCGCGCGTTCGATTGCGTGTCGCGGCCCCGCCAGCCGCATTCACTCCTCAGCTCGCGCGCGCGCAGGCTCTCCTCCGCCGCGGACCAGCTCAAGGCCGTCGGTGGCAACCGCCGCAAGCTGACACTGGAGTACCAGGAATTGGAGCGCTCCAACGAGGGCGAGCTGGCATCGCTGCCGTGGAAGTCCGTCGAGGAGGCGCGCACCGCCGGAAAGCCCTTTGAGATGACGCTGCACGACCCTCTCACGCTGCTCAAGGGGAAGACGTTCCTCGGCGGTCTGCTTGAGCTGCTCGGCGACAAGGGATCGAGCGATCTGCGCGTCGTTTGGGCCTCGGCCGACCTCGACAACTTCAAGACGGTCAACGACCGCTGGTCGCACGCGCACGGCGATTTCGCCATCATCGTCGCGTGCCGCGCTATTCAGCGCGCAGTTGACGAGTGGAACCGCAAGAACGGAGCGCTCGGCCACGCAGTGGCGATGCGCTTCGGTGGCGACGAGATCGTGTTGGCCATCGTGCTCAAAGGCGACCAGGCGCAGGCGTGCGATTCGCTGCTCGATGACGTCCACTCGGCGACGTGCCGCAGCCTGCAGCAGCGCTTCGACTTTGCCGCACTCGACCCCAAGCCCATCGACCGAAACGGCAAGCCGATCGAAGCCAAGGGCCCTGCCATCTCGATCGGCGTCTCGTCTGCGCTGCCCTGCGGCGCTGGGTCGTCGACGCTGTACACGAAGGGCTTCAAGCGCGCCGACGACCTGCTCAACGAGTTCAAGGACAAGTGGAAGAGTGGCGGCACGCGCCTCGGTGCCAAGCCGACTGAGGGGCTAGAGATCCTAGTGGCAAACCCCGGAAAGTGGGTCAAAAATGACCACCCTCACGTGTAGGCGCGTATCTTAGCTAAGGCTCGCGCCCTGACGTGTAAGTGCTCATGTGCACCGAGCCCATATACGCACCTGCATGTGTGGACGCGAGTATTAACTAAGATGAGCGCCCACGCATGAGGATGCGCGTCTGCGTCCAGGTAGCCCAGATACCGTCTTCGTGTCTGGGCGCTTATCTTGAGTAAGGCTCGCGCCTACACGTGTAGCTGCGTATCTTGAGATGAGCGCCCACGCTTGTGGCGCCTATCTTAGCTAGTACTCGCGGTGTCGGCGTGGGTGCGTGGCGGTCAGCATACGCTCCCACACATGCAGACGCGAATATTAGTCAATATAATGAGCGCTCACACGTGGAGGCGCGTATGTTGACATACGCACCTGCGCATATGGCGCTCAAAAGTGAATAGTTTTGGGTGATACGCGCTCAAGTCGCCTGTGTCATCTGTCCCTGGCTTGCTGGGCGCTGCTTTATGGCGGATCTCCTTGATGCCGCGGAGGATGATGCCGGCGCCGAGGTGCCCGCGGCGGCCGGGTAGCGAAGCGTTCAGACCACATGGCGGTCAGCAACATCGAGTGGAAAGACGTGGCGACGGTCGTCGAGCCAGCCGCCAAGTGTCTCAACCCCGGCCTGCGCGAGAGGAGGACTTGACGGAGGAGGCCGCACCTTCTTTGTCGTCCGCAAGCGCCCCGAGGGGGCCGCCGTGAAGTATTGGCGCTCATCTCAAGATACGCAGCTACACGTGTAGGCGCGAGCCTTACTCAAGATAAGCGCCCAGACACGAAGACGGTATCTGGGCTACCTGCCTGGACGCAGACGCGCATCCTCATGCGTGGGCGCTCATCTTAGTTAATACTCGCGTCCACACATGCAGGTGCGTATATGGGCTCGGTGCACATGAGCACTTACACGTCAGGGCGCGAGCCTCAGCTAAGATACGCACCTACACGTGTGGGTCGTCATTTTTGACCCACTTTCCGGGTTTGCCGATCCTAGTCCGCGATCGCGCCGGCGCCGACAGGACACCTCTGAACGTCGCAGCTGCAACCGAGGATGGAGACGGAGGAGGAGGAGGAGGAGCAGCAGCATGGGCAGCGGCGGCGGCGGTGGCGGCAGCAGCAGCGGCAGCACCAGCAGCCTCCAGCTAGTCTCGTCAGCAGCGAGTACGACAGCGACACCACCGTCGCCCTGCTGCAGCCCGCCGCTGTCTGGCCGCCTCCGCAGCCAGCGTCGCAGCTAATGGCGATGGCGATGCAGGAGGAGGAGGAGGAGCAGGAGGAGGAGGAGGAGGAGGAGGGGTCCGAGGCCGCCATGCCTGCCGCGGCGGAGGGGTCCGAGGCGCCTCCCGGGACGCCTCCGCCGGACGAGGAGGAGGAGTGGGAGGCGGCGGCGGCGGCGGCGGCGGCGGAGGAGAGGGAGGAGAGGGAGGAGAGGGAGGAGAGGGAGGAGGCGGCGGCGGCGGTGCCGGACGAGGAGGGCGAGGCGCGGGCGGCAGCGGAGTCCGAGGGCTTGCAGCTGCACCTGTCCAACAGCAACCAGACCGGCTACACCGGCGTCTCAAAGATTCCCTCTGGCCGCTTCCGAGTGAAGTGCATGGTGGACGGCAGGCAGAACTACTTGGGAACCTTCGACACGGCGGTGGAGGCGGCGGTGGCGTACGCGCGGCACGCTGCGCAGCAGCAGCAGCCGCAGCAGCAGCCGCTGCAGCAGTTTCCGGGCGCGCCGCTCGCCGCTGCCGACGCCGTCGAGGGGGCTGCGGTGGCGGTCTACTTCTCGGACGTGTCTCGCTGGTGCCGCGGCTCGAGCGTGTCCAAGACTGCGACGGGGAGGAGCTGCTCTTGCCGACCCTCTCCCCTCCCTCCCCTTGTAGGTACCGCGGCGAGGTGGCGTCCGTCAACAACGACGGCACCGTTGGCGTGGGGCGTACGTGCTGTGAAGAGACGCCGTGTTCACACCTGCAGCTGTGAGCAGGCACCTTTGGCGTGGCGTACGAGGACGGCGACGAGGAGGAGGCGGTGCCGCTGGCGGAGCTGTTTCATCCGGCGGCTGAGGCGGGGGGACCCTCCCAGTCGGACGAGCAGAGGCTGACGGCGGCCCGAGAGAGGTGCGTGTGACATTCGTTCTCGAGATCGCACGAGATATGAGCGAGAGGTGTGTGAGAGGCAAGGTAGCTCATCGGTGGCGAAGTGGATGTATGGTCCACTGAGACACCTCCTCCTTGTGGAGAGCGAGGTGAGTGTGAGAGCGGAGAGCGATGGGTTGAAGGCCATCTCGGCGATGCAGCACTCACTATCTCCTACGCGCCGCCAACCTGGTCAACGACCGTGTGTGTGATCATCACCTCTAGGCCCACCCACTCCGACGAGCAGCGCGGAGCCTGCGCCCTTGACGACGAGCTCGCGCCCGAGCGGGCCGTCTGTACCCTACCGCCAGAGTCTCGAATCCAGTGTGGGTTCGGTCCCGTGGGTGGTGCGGTAGAGTTCGCGCCCGAGAGCGGCGTCGGCTGCAGCCGCGCGCGTCCGGAGGCGAGGGAGACCGCCGCCGAGGACAGCGAGGAGGAGAAGGAGGAGAAGGGGGAGGGTGGCGAGGAGGAGGGGGGCGAGGCGCCGGTGGCGGCGGAGACGGGGGGCGTGCAGCTGCACCTCTCTAGCAGCAACGCCACCGGCTACAAGGGCGTGTACGAGCACCGCTCCTCTGGCCGCTTCTGGGCGCAGCGCAGGGTGGGCGGAAAGCTGGTCTACTTGGGCTCCTTCGACTCGGCGGTGGAGGCGGCGGTGGCGTACGCGCGGGCGGCCGGCGAGGCGGGGGGCGGCGAGGCGGCGGCCGAGTGTGCCACCTTCCTGCGGGAGCGCTGGCACAACGGCCCGCCTGCGGCGTGCCTGTCCGGGACACGTCCAGCCCACGTCCGAGACATGTCGCATAGGCGCGGCGCTGCTCGGCCGGTGCACATGCACATGTCCGGGACACGTCCGAGCCATGTCCGAGACATGTCGCATAGGCGCGGCGGCCGGCTGCTGCTTCCTGGCCACTCGGGCGCGTCGAGCTCGGGCGGCGCTGTGGCCGCACCAGACAAGGCCTCGCAGCCCGCGCAGGTGACTGGCGGGATGAGCTACGATAACACCCGAACCCTAACCGGAACCCGAACCCTAACCCTAACCCTAACCCTAACCCTAACCCTAGGTGACTGGTGGGATGAGCTACGATAACACCCGAACCCTAACCGGAACCCGAACCCTAACCCTAACCCTAACCCTAACCCTAGGTGACTGGGTGGATGAGCTACGATAAGACGCTCGACGGCCACGACGCCGAGCAGCAGCGGCAAGACACGCTGCTGCGCGCCACTCTGTGTTTGCCTCCTCGTTTTACTTACGCGCGTCGACTTCTTGCTTAGGCACAACACGCTGCTGCTCACCCACGCGCTGCTGCCCGCGTGCCGCCGGCAGCTGCCCGGCTTTGCGCGGATGGAGGAGGCGCTGGCCGAGTGGCTTCAGGCCAGGTACGGCACCGTGGTCGAGCTCTTCTACGCGCACGGCTTGCGACAGTCGAGGGCGACGATGCAGTCGACGGGCTTCTCGGTCCACCAGGTGTCCGTGCCACCTCCATCTCTCCCCATATCTCTTCATCTCTCCCCATATCTCGGTCCACCAGGTGTCCGTGCCACCTCCGACGCGCCCTCCCTGCCAAGCCCGCCGCTGCGCCCCGCGCGAGAGAGGGCTGCCTCCGCCCTCCTCGTTCGACCGCCCCCCCCCCCCCCCCCTCCGCCAGGATACCGAGGACTTTTCGTTCATCGAGTACACCGTCGTGGTCAAGCTCACGCCCGACGGGCTGGGCGAGGCGCCCTCCTCGATGCGCGTCGTCGGCGCGGACCGGCCGTTTTACTACTCGCCGGCCGCCGGTCTGCCCCTCTCTCCTCCCTCCCTCCCTCCCTCCCTCCCCTCCCTGTCTCCTCTCACCCCACCGCCGCCTCCACCACCCTTCAGGCGCGAGCGGCTGCTTCCGCGCCGACCTGTACCACGCGTCGGTCGAGCCAGAGTCGGAAGACGAGCACCTGAAGATCGCCTTCTTCTTTCGGCGTTCGACGCGTGGCGAGAGACGCGCAAAGCGCGCGCTCACTGAGAGCGACGAGGCCGTCGCGGAGCTCGAGCTCGCCCAGCGACGGAAGCTGGCCGCGCCGCAGCTCCTCGGTTGAGAAGCCGTCACCTTTCTTTTTCTGTCCATGGAGGGCGCAGGTATCAGGTGTAGAGACCTGTGTGTACGTCTGCGTGTGGCTGTATGATATTTCATAGGAACCCCTCGGCTGCTTGGGCTTGATGGCTGCGCTTCGAGGAGTGCGAGTGTGTACAGAGTGGCAGGAGCGAGCCGACGAGCTCATGTGTTCGCTCGACCTCGAGGGAGGTTGGGTTTTTATTTGTGGAGAGAAAACTACCTTAGCTCCAAGTGCTCCAAGCTTAGATACCGTGTTATCAACCAGAACGACCACGGTCCATCACGCCGCCACCGGCAGCCGAACTTCAAACGGCGTGGCGCGCGACGCGGCGAGCGACGAGAAGGCGTGCTCCCACACGCGTTGGTAGCGCCGCGCCGCGTCCGAGCCATCGGGCAGCAACTCCCCGGGATTGTGCAGCAAATCGACGATTGCGACGCGAGAGTCCACGACCACCGACGCCCACGCGTGGTGGGCGTGGGCGCCATTCACGCACCTGCCGAGGGAGAGGCCACAGCCGAGGCCGCAGCTGTCGGCGAGCGCCTTGAAGAGGACGGCACGCGCGCGCGCCCCGCCGCGTGTCAGCGAGCCGAGGGGGAGAACGCGCGAGGCGGCAGCCTTGCAGAGAGAGGCCGCCTGCGCCGCGCCGTCGAAGGACTCGTACTCCTCGTACGGGACGCTGCCGCCCATCCGGTCGCTCACCAGCACGGCGAGGCCTCGCACGGTGTCGGCGGCCGAGGCGGCCCGCACTAGGAGCGCCCTAGCCTTGAGCGACTCGAGCGCCGCGTCGGCGCCAGACACGTGGAAGATCGCCGCCGCCTCGCCCTCGGGCTGCATCGACCGGAGCGCCGCCGCGCCAACCAACGGCACGTCCTTTGGCACGGCGAGGAACTCCTCGCCGAGGGGCACGCCCACGGGGAGGTGCGAGTTGAGCCACAGCCTGGCCGAGGGCAGCGCAGTGCACACCGCCTGGAGCGCCATGGAGGCAGCGGCAGAGTGTTCGCCCTCAGCCTTGAGCGCGACCAAGTGCTGCACGGCGCCAAGAGAGACGCAAACCTCGGCCGACGCGGCGTCGCGCCCGTGGCAAGCTGCGGCGATGGCGGCCAGTGCGGCACGACGCAGCGGAGCTGACGGGCTCCCGAGCAGCTTGACGACTCCCGTGAGCGGAGGAGGCGCGTTGTCGACGGCGCCGTTATTGTTGCCCCCGCCCTCGCCGCTGCCCTCGTCCGCGCCGCCGCTATCACTGACGACGCCCTCGCCATCGCCGGAAGCCGCACTCGACCCCAGAGGCGAGCGCAAGAGTCTGCGCACCTCCTCGTGCGCGGCAAGGGCGGCGAGGGCGTGGAGCGCCGCCTCGACGCGACACTCCTCTGGCTCCGCCTCGCTCGCCGCCTCCGTCTGGCTCGCCGCCTCAGCCTCGAGCCTTCTCGCGGGCCGGAGCCACTCGGCCAGCGCGACGATGGCTGGCTTCACGACTTCCATGGCTGCGTCACGCCCCTCCTGGCTGCAAGCCACGAGACCGAGCGCATCCGCCGCCTTGGCGCGAAGCGGCGGCAGAGTGTCTGCCTCGCACACGAGGGATGCCAACATTTTCAGGCCGGCCGTGCCGTCAGACAAGAGAGGCTCCAGAGCTGGTGTGGGCAGCAGTGCGACAATTGCCGAGCAAGCAGCTTGCCGCACCGCCTCCCAGTCCGCAGACTCGAACCGTGCTGCAACAGGCCCAAGGGCTTCAGGGGGCTCAGCAGCGAGGAGCTGGAGGAGCGGGAGGGCAGCTGCTGGCCCGAGCGAATGCGCAATCTGTGGGGATCGCGCGAGGTTCTCGATGGCAAGGGCTACGTTGGACAGCAACTGTGCGGACGTGTGTGTCGGCTCTTTGAGACACTGGACCAACAGTGGAACCGCGTCCAGACGTTGCAAAGCCATGCGACCGTCTTCGAAGTTTGCGACAGCGGCCACCAAAGATGCCGCGTTCGCCATCAGGTCAGTGAAATCGGGCGGTGCATCGTCAGAATCTGGGAGCTGCAGGATGGTAATCACATTGGCGACCATTTTGTGCTCGAGCAACTTGGAGCGCAAGATAGCGTCGGGCAGCGCAGTGGCAAGCGCGAGGTGCGCCTTTGCTCTGGCTGTAATGGCGTCCGCGCCCTCATCCCCGCCAGGCGCCGCAGCAAGGCGGATCAGACCATCCAGGTCCGCCGTTCGAAGCTGTATGCGTGCCAGTGCAGAGTTGAGGCATGCCGCGAGCGCCGTTGCGGCTTGAGCTTGCAATGCGGCTGGTGCTTGCTGAGTCAACAACCCGAGCAGTTTTGGCACAGCGCCTCTGCGAACGCACGCACGGCCCTCCGGTTGCGACGCGATACGGGCTATTGCCGCGCACGCGTGCTGGGCGGCGGCTGCCCGCTGGGACGGATCGGCTGCGTTTTGCCATTTGCCATCGCGGGGAACGCTGAGCAGATGAATGAGGGACGCCGCCAGCTCTGAGGAGGAGAAGGCGTGAGGCCCATCACGCAGGCACTCGGCCAGCCGAGAAGTTGCTTCGACCGCGTCCACAAAGGACTGGTCACACTCCTCGGAGGAGAGGCAGCGCGCTGTGGCCGCCACGATGGTGGGCATGTTGCCGACGATCAGGTCCATTGCATCCTGCCCTGCTCCATCCTCAGCTGCCTGGCGGAGTGCGTCGAGGCCAGCTGCAAGGTCCGCGGCGGAAACCTCGCCGCCGGACTGAAACAGCTCCAGCGCTGCTTCCGGGGTCGCGGGGCTTGGCGGCATGGATGCGAAACGGCTGTATACTGTGGCTGGTGGGACGCACGCACGGCTGGAACTTGCGCCCCCTCTCCTACTGCTCCTGACACCACAACGGGCGAGCGGGTCGGATGCTCGCTCGGCTGCCCGTCGGCCCACCCGCGCTGTCCGTGCCAGAGGAGCTCTCGGATCTGACCACTCTGACCGAGAGCCTCGTGCGCGCCTCTGCCGCTTGGCGGTCCAGCGGGCAAGGCGGTGCGGCAGCAGACATGTGTAGGCTGCTTGAGGCCGCAGCGTCGGCGCTGCAGGCGCAGGTGGCAGAGGCAAAGGTGCAGCGAGGGCTGGCGGTGGCATCGCAGACGCTCGCAGCGACCCCGCACCCCGCGCCTGCCGCCCCTACCGCCCCGCCTAGGTGGGAAAGAGACGAGGAGATGGAACAGCCCGAGGGAAGGAGCACAAACACGTAGACCATGCTAACGTCTCACGATCTCACTCGCGATCGAGTAACACCATGTGCACTAAAGCACGACTCCGTTAGCTAACATTCGACAAGGGCCCCACTCTTTCCTTCGCATAGCGGCCACTCTTCGGATCGCTGGTCGAGCGACCCGGGGGATGCCCCGCGCGCCTGACCCAGGCGCGGAAACGAATCTGCGAGGCGTGGCCGCTCATGCGGCCCGATGGGGAGGAGGGGAAGACGTAGGGCGTGCTTGCGCGCCTTTCCGAGGCCCCTCCAACCCACCCGCGCTAGTTCTCGGGTTTGACGCATGGGGTCACTCCCGCGAAACCCGTGAACTAGCCGGGGCAGTCGGAGAAGGGGCAACTCCGTGCACTGACGGTCGGCCGTCAGAAATCCCGCCTCCGTGGCTCGGGTTACACCAATCCTCGCTACCCAACGCGGCCAAAGGATATCCACCTCGAGAACCTCGAGGAGTCCTTTTGGAAAAATTTTGTTGCCATCCCAAACTGTCACTCCCCTTTCTCCCGGCCGGGGTGGGGCGCGCGCGGGGGCGGCGGGTGTGAGGGATGTCTGTGAGCCCGAGAGCGATATGCCATGTCCGCCTTGCGTGTTTTCATAACATCGAAGGCTAAGCTCAAAAATTTTTCGCGGCCGCGCTGAATGGACAATTGACCCAACGTTGACGCGTTGGCACACAGCGCCGACCCTCGGCAGCAACTGCTAGCAGAGAAGACATGCCGCCCGTAGCCCTGCGCGACTACCAGTCCGCAGCTGTGGAGGAAGCCGCCCAGCGGAACCTGCTCGTCGTCCTGCCGACGAACGCTGGCAAGACGATCATCTCGGCCAAGGTGATTGAGAACGTCCTCTACGCCGAGAACGAGCGGGGCAGCGGCAAGAAGATTGTCTTCCTCGCGCCGGGGCGGGCGCTGGCCGTGCAGCAGGCGCGCGTGCTCGAGGAGCAGATCGGGCCGCTGCAGGAGGAGCCGACGAGCGTGGGCGGCGCTGCGTGGCGGCTCGGCCTGGTTGTCGGCATGGGTGGTCTCGGCCTGCGGGAGGCGGTCCGCTCGCGCCAGGCGCCAGCAACGCCGCCGCGGCGCGACGGGACCACCTCTCCGCGGCTTCATCTCGGCTGTGCCGCGGCTCTAGGCGCCTGCGACACGCTGCGGCGGTGTGAGGGAAGCAGCACTCTGTTCACGGGTGAAGGCGACGCGCGACAGGTGCTTGTGATGACGCCGCAGCTCTTCGAGAAGGCGCTCATCCACGCGATGCTGCGGATGGAGGGCGTCGCCCTGCTGGCCACCTCCTGTCGCGCTGCTGTGAGTGTGAAACCGCCTTCACGGCTCGCGCTGTGAACAGGTCCTCGACGAGGCACACCACATGCGAGGGAACGACCGGTACGCCACCATCATGAAGTACTTCTACCTGCCGTGCGGCGAGCGGCCTCGCGTCCTTGCCCTCACCGCCTCGCCGGTCGAGAAGGCGCGAGAGGACGAGCCGGACTGCCGATCAAATTAACGACCCCTGAGTTCATGGAGTCCAGTCAACGAGTTAATTGCTCTGACGAGCCCAGTGTAACAAACTAGTCAACTACTGTGACGAGCCGAGTAGAGCACACCTTCCCTGCGACCACTTCTTTCGTCGGCGCAACAGGACGAGCCGACGCCGCGAGCGACGGACCATGAACAACAAACAACACAGCCCCGCACCCCACTCGCAGGCGCACATGGTCGAGCCGGACGCTGCCACGTTCCGTACAGAGCTCGCGGAGCTAGAGGGGCGACTCGACTGCGCGGCGTGGTCACGGAGAGTTCCACCCACGGTCGCCCCCCCACGCGCTGCCGCGGCGACTCACGAGCAGTTCGCTACGCACACACACTCTTGCCAGCTAGGTCGTCCCGCACGCGCTGCCGCAGCTGCTGCCCTTCGGCCGCGCTGCAGCGCCGAGCGAGCTGGTCGACGGCGTGAGGCGGGTGCTGGTGTGTGAAAGTAGAGATGGGGCGGGAGGCACGCACGCGCAGCACACACACTCAGGGGCGAGGGACGGCAGCACAACTCCACTCCGCGGGGCCAGCACGCGCGCGTGGCAAGCCGGCCGGCTGGCACCGACACCCTCCCGGACCTCCCCATATCTCCCCATATCTCCCCATATCTCCCCATATCACCACGCCGCGGGGCCAGCACGCACGCACGCCCCAAGCTCCTTGGTCGAGCCTTCGCCAGTTCTCCCACTCAGTGGCGTCACTCAGTGGCGTGCGGCTTGGGCCAACCGAAGGTCGCTCTCCGACCTCGCTCGCCGAGCCTTCAACCCGGCGCAAGACGGCCGGAAGAACGCGACCGACACCCCGCCCGGATTTGCAAGCAGGCGCGGGTATGGGACGACGGCACGACGGCGGAGGCGGAGGAAGACATGGCGCCGCGCCGCAGGGATCGCCGCTCCGTGGAGGTGCGGGACGGCGCGTCTTCACACCAGACGCTGGCTGTGTGCAGGGGCTGCGCGGCGAGGGGGTCACAGGGGCTGCGCGGGTCACGCCGCAGACGGAGGCGGCGGCGCTGCGGTCTCTTTGCCGTCTCTTTAGGGTGCTCGCCACGGGCTGATCTGCCTTCTAGGCCGCGCTCGAGGGGAAGGAGGTGGAGGCGCTGCGGGCCGCGTGGGGGCAGTGCGTGGACAAGATCGACTCTATCTGTGGCGGGGGAGAGCTGGGAGGATGGGCGCCCTAGAAGCGGAGTACGCGCTCTTGTACCAGCGCTCGAGAGGACACGGACTCCGCGGCATCCGTTCGTATTCAACTGTATTCACTGTCCTCTTCTCCGTTGTATTCACGCGGTGCTCTGAGGACGCTGCACAAGACCGTCTCCCCGCCCTGAGGTTGGCGTACACTCCGCGTAGGATGGGCGTACTACCACGCCGCGCAGATGCTCGTGCGAGACTTGGGCAAAGGGACGCGCGCGCTGTCGCCGTGCGAGGAGGGCTGGCCTAGAAGCAGGATGAGGGGGGGTCTCTGTGGAGTCCAGCCGGCACTCTTGCAGAGGGCACGTGCTCCGCTGCCTCCCGCTCACTCCCCTGGTGTTCGTACTCTCCAGTGGCCGCGTTGTACTCTTCGAGACCTCGAGACCTCGAGAGAGAGAGAGAGAGAGGCGGCCGCACGCCTCCCCGACCAAAGTCGAGAGTTGACTGTCATCTTTGGCGGGCGACCTGTATTCGTAGCCCCTCGTACTCACGCGGTGCTCTGAAGCCGCTGCACAGCGCCAGAGTCGATCCGCGTCGGTTGTGGTGTTGACGTGTATCACAGTCCGGCGGGTGTATTCACACGAAGTGTATTCACACGAAGTGTATTCACACCGCAGGAGAGGGACGAGGCGTGGCCCGCCCGACGCGCAGCCGTCGGCGGCTCCATGGCGCACGCCGAACTCCTGTCCAAGTGGCGGCGGGAGCTAAAGGAGCGGCTGTCGCGGCTGCGCTGCCCGCCACCGACTGAGCCGGCGAGCGCCTCGCCAAAGCTGCTGGCGCTGGTGCAGCACTTGCGCGAGACGCGGCCCGCAAAGTGCATCGTCTTCATCACGCGCCGCGCCGCCTGCCGGCTGCTCCACGGATTCCTGTGCGTGGGCCGTCGAAGCTGAACACGGACTCTTGTATTCCAACTAGCGCTCGAGAGGACACGCATTCCGCTGTACTCGGCCGTACTCGGCTGTGTTCATATCCCTCGTACTCAATCAGTGCTCTGAAGACTCTCCACACCGTATTCCCGCCCCGAGGTTGGCGTACTCCGCGCGTAGGAGCGCGGCGCTCGACGTGGGCTGCTGGGAGGTGTGCTGGGCGTGCCGCGAGGGCCCCGTCGCGATCTCGCGGGGGCGAGGGTCGGAGGGGTATTCGGAGAGGCAGTTTGACGCCGCGCTCGACGCGTTCCGTGGCGAGGCGGGGCCGGGGCGTCACAAGGCGCTTGTTATAGATAGGTAGAGGGCTCTCGTCTGCACGCATCCCCTCACGGCTAATGACTGCTCCTCCGTAGTCACTCACTACGTCAGCACGCCTGCCCTCGGCTAAATGACTGTTCCTCCGTAGTCACTCACCAAATGATGACGACACACCACTATTGCTGACGACACAGCTCGTCTCCACCTCACCTCATGTCCTCCTCGTTGATCGTCGCTCACCATATCGCTGCGGCACGAGGTGCTCGTGTGCACGTCTGTGCTCGAGGAGGGGATCGATGTGCCCTCGTGCGACGCTGTGATCGATTTCGACGGCGCGAGATCCAGCCGAGATCCAGCCGAGATCCAGCCGAGATCCAGCCGAGATCCAGCCGAGATCCAGCCGAGATCCAGCCGAGATCCAGCCGAGATCCAGCCGAGATCCAGCCGAGACATAGCGTTATCGGTGCGACCACTTGGGGGCGACACCTGTCCAAGAAGGGACGCCCACGACACGTCCAAGACACGTCCAGGCGCGACCACCTCGCAGCGGCGCCAGCAGCGGATGGGCCGTGCGCGCGCGCAGAACGCGCGGTTCGTCGAGATGATCGACTGCAGCGACGAGGGGGAGAGGGCCAAGGCGGAGGCGCGGATCGCGCGCTTGCAGGGGTGGCAGGAGCTCACCGTCAAGGAGCTCGGCGGGGGCGCGCGGCGGCTTCCCCCGGCGCCGCAGAGTGCGGAGGCCGCCGCTTCGGAGCTGATGAAGAGGGCCATTTGCGCAACCGCGCCCGACGGCCGGCCTTGCGGTGTGCTGCCGATGGCGAGGAGCAGGGAGCTGCTCGCCGACGTGTACTGCGACTCGCGCTTGGTCCTCGAGGGCGGCGACCCCTAGAAGCGGAAGATGGACTCGACTTGTATTCCAACTGGCGCTCGAGAGGGGCATGTAGACTCTACTTGGCTGGTATTCCGCTGTATCCATTGTACTGTATCTGTACCCGCTCGTGCTCACGCGGTGCTCGTGACTAGTCCGCAATGCCGTGTTCCCGCCCTGAGAATGGTGGTGGATTCGTCATGTAGGCGGCGACCCCGAGGTCGAGCTCGATTTCACCGCCGACGGCAGCCACTTCACCGCTAAGGAGGGCGGGCAGTTCCTCGTTCTGCCGCGGGACGGGACCGGCCCCTTCCGCTGCCAGCTGACTCTGCCGGGTGTGCTGCTCTGCCGCCCGCCGGGCGAAGGGAGGCTGCCGAAAACGCTTGATTGGACGGACGAGTTCGCCACCAAGGGGGGTGCCAAGGAGCGCGCGGCGATGGAGGGCGTCAGGTACTTGCTCAAGATTGGCGTGCTGGACGCGCATTTCGAGATCGTCGGCCGAGCCGCAGCCCTCAGCCAGCTGAGGGAGAGGGCGAGCGGGCGGCAAGGCAGCACGCGGGCAAACCGGCGCCAGCTGGCCAGTTCGTAGTCGATCGCTATTGCATGACTATTTCCACTGATTTATAGGCGAACCGTCGCCAGCTCGCCAAGAAGGAGCCTGTCGTGCGCGACTTGCCGGCCTGCTTGTTGCGCCAGGAGCCGGCGGACGCGGAGGCGGAGGGGGAGGCGGAGCGGGAGGGGCTTTCGGCGGCTCCGTTGGGCGGTGGCGGCGATGGGACGCTGCAGGTCTGGTCACACCCGCTGTTCCTCGACACCGAGCCGACAGGCCTCGCGCTACTGCTGCCCGGACCTGTGCCCGAGGCGGCGCGTTCCTTCGCCGTCGGGGCTCAAGGACAGCGCGTCGCGTGCCGGCTGGGCGGACCGCACGCGATGCGTCTCACGCGTGGCGCGCTTGCGGACGTGGCGCATTGGCTCGTCGGATCGCTTGAGCTTATCCAGGGGGGCTGCGCCGGCGAGCCGTTGCACGCGTCGATCGGTGCGATGCAGCAGTTGCTGGCTTGGGATCACGTTTCGGGTTCCTTCCGGCCCGACCCACGGCGCATTCTCGACGGCCGGGAGGGGCAACTGCCTGAGCTGCGCGGTTTCAAGTTCACCAACCGTTGGGTCAAGGATCCTTCCAGCGAGCCGGCTGTATTTGCCGCTCTGGTCCAGGAGATGCTCCTGTTCTACAAGGCGCCTCTGCCCGTCGTCGTCACTCTCGACCTCGACCAGACTCTGTGGTTTGGTGAGTGCGCCGAGTGGCCGCCGGGCACGTACGAGTCGGGTTCGGCCGCGACGGGCGCCTTCCCTCTCCGAATGGTCTCGACGGAGAAGGACGAGACGGGGCGCTACCCTCACCTCGAGCTGCATCGCGACGTGCCTCTGATCTTTGGTGCGCTGCGCCTTCTCCGCGCCTCTGGCGCCGTCCGCATCGCCATCGCGTCCGCCTCGCCAGCGCGCGGGAGCGCCTTGGCGCTGTTGGAGAAGTTCGGTTTGATCGACGGCGAGATGTGGTTGGAGATCGGCGACGGTGACGGCGGCGACGGCAGTGGCGGAGCGACAGCCGAGCCGACGGCACACGGCAAGGTCGGGCATCTGAGGCGACTGGCGAAGCGGATGGGTGTGCCCGAGGAGGAGGTCCGGGAGCGTTTCGTGCTCTTTGACGACTCCGAGCGGAACGTCGACTCGGTGCGCGAGGAGGAGCCGGACGGCCTCCACTGCAACGCGCTCGTCCTCGACCCCGCGACGGGGCTGACGGCGGAGGCGGTGGCGCGCGGCCTAGAGCACCATTGCAAAGAGCTGCAGCGCGAGCGGGAAGACGGCTTCGACGGCAGGCTCACCGAGGCGGAGCGACTAGCGCCCGACCGCGAGCAGCAGCGGAAAATGCGGCAGGACCGCCTCGGCAGGAGGGGCGAGAGGCAGGCCGAGGTGGATGGGGGCCGCGCTTCCGACAAGCTGCGCGCCTTGCGCGTGGACCCTGGCTGGTGGGTTGCGGCGCCGCTCGACGGCGAGGAGGTCAACTGGCGGCTGGTCGAGCTGGCGACCCGCCTATTCAAAACGTGCGAGTGGCCCGGCTGCGGCTCGGACCATCCTCTCGCTCCGGCCGACGACGACGAGGATGCGGAGTGGGCGTACTGCGCTCTGGCAACTTACGATGCGGAGACGCGCGTGCACTACCAGGTCCTCTCCGAGGTCTCCTTTTGCCCAGCCGACGGCACGGTGCAAGGCACCGTCCGCACGCGCCAGGCCAAGGTGGCCGAGTCGCCAGCACCCCAGTTCTTAGCGTCCACATTGTGCATCTACGGGCCCACAGCGCATGCGTTCGTCTCGCTCGGTAGCTTGGCGTCCGTTATGCGTGCCGCTTCTTGAGGACTCGCGCGCGGTACTTACCTCTAGGTTGCCGAGTCGTCGCGCCGCGCCAACCGCTACGTGTCTCGCGACGGCACCTACGCGACGCGGGAGAGCGGCAGCTAGTGGTCCATGCTTTGTGGTGAAGGGTTGGGCTACTGCTTCTCAGGCACCTACGCGACGCGGGAGACGGCGAGGGCGACAGGATTCGCGCCCGCCAATGTGCGGCTCCTCCCGCTCCTCTCCTCGCACCACCGGCCCCTCCGCCTGCTGAAGCGGCTCGTCCACCGCCTTGAGCACCTCGCCCTTGTCGCCGAGCTCGACGGTCTCCGCAGCCTCCCCGCCGCCGGCCTCGCCGCCGGCCACGGCGAGCCGACACCTCTCTCGTTGCCCGCACGCTGTGGGCGGCGTCTCTTCACACCTCCTGCTGTGAACAGGCCCCTCAGCAACGCGCACCTACCCTGCAAGCTGTGGGCAGAGCGCCTTCACGCGCGCACCTGTGAGCAGGCGGCGTCGCCTTCGGCATGCTCGCGGCGGCGCTCACCTCGCCCGCCGCCAACGCCGAGGCCGCCCTCGCACCAGGGCTTGCCGCTGCTGCTGCCGCTGACGCCGCCGCTGCCGCGCCCGCACCCGGCCGCATGCTGCTCGATGCGCGCGGCTGCTGCGACTACGAGGTGGCCGAGTGGGTCGGCGACGCGGTGCTCCGTTTCCTCTCCGTGGCGCACGTGCTGTTTGAGGAGCCGACGGCGCGCGACACACGCAGCTCCCGCCCGCCGCCCTGTGAACGGCGTCTCTTCACACCTCCGGCCGTGGGCAGGCGCGCGACAAGCAGCTCTCCCTCGCGGCGGAGCAGATCCTGAGGAACCAGTCGCTGTACGAGAGGGCAAAGGAGAGCCGGCCGAGAGCACTCGCTGCTGTGTGCGTGGGGATGGCCCGCCCTCAGCGAACGGCACCACCGGACAGGAGATCCGCCTTCCCGAGCTCGCGCTGTGCCGGCCCTTCGAGGTCTCCGCGACGCTGCCCGAGATGCGCAAGGCAGCGTGCTCGCTCAAGGACCAGGCCAGCCTCACTGGTCAGTGGGCTCCTCAACTACGAAATGTGGCAACATTCATCCACAATCATGCAACATTGACCTCCATGCCTTGGAGATTGTCCGGGGCCCTGAGGCCCAGACAGACAGACAGACTGGGGCCCAGACACACAGACAGCCTGATCAGCCGATGAACTCGTCCGTTCGTTGACTGGTGCTCGCTCAGGCCAACCTCGTCGAGTCGCTGCTCGGTGGGCTCGCCGAGACGGCGCGGCAGCAGGCGCTGAAGGACGGGCAGGCCGACCCTCTCCGCCGCGCCCTCGAGGCGGCCTCGCGCCTCTTCAGGGCGGCCGTAGTTCAGTGCGCAGCGAATGAGTGAGGGGCGTCCCTTCCGCAGGCGGCCTCGCACTTCTTCACGGCGGCGGTGCTGCCGCCGCGGCCGCCGGCTGCTCCTCCGCCTCCTCCGTGGGCGGAGCAGCTGCGGAGGCCCGGCGAGAGGAGGACGCCTCAATGCATTCACCAGCCACTCACCTGATGAGTTCATCAATGCCGCGGCCAGGCTCAACGAGAAGATGCCGCCGCCGCAAAGGAGGGGGCGCCAGCCGCCGCCGGACAAGCAGCTGCAGCAGCAGCTTCAGGAGCAGGCGGCGGCGCTAGTATTGCAATAGTAGCATAGTAAGCGCCTCTTCACGAGGAGCGATTTCATGCCGATAGCCAGGCTACTAGGCGGGATGAAGCGATGGGCCCAAGGGACTTGCGTGCTGCCCCCCCCCCCCCCCCCCACAAACAAACACGCACACACACACACACACACCGCTCACCCACGCGCACCGGGCCTTGCACCTTTCATGCCGCGGGGCTCTTGTCTTTTGTACGTGGAGTCGCGACCCTTGCCCCACCACCTTGTGTGTGTGTGGAGAGAGAGTCACCTTACCTTCCCTTCGAGTGGGGCTATAGGCGGCGGCGCTGTGCTGTGGCCTGGGAAGCGAGCTCGACCTCCACACGGCGTGCCCGGCCCTGCTGCTCGAAGCCTGCCGCTGGAACGAGCGCGACACCTTCCAGCGACTCGAGTTCGAGGGCGACGCCTTCCTCCAGGAGATCGCCCGAGCTCGCCCGAGATCGCCCGAGATCGCCCGAGATCCCCCGAGATTGGCCGAGCTCGCCCGAGGCGCCCCCACCGCGCGCGTCTCTTCACACCCCTTGCTGTGAACAGGCGGCGGTCTCGCTCGAGCTGGTGGCGCGGTACGAGGGCGACGAGGGCGAGCCGTGCGCGTGAACGGCGCCTCTTCACAGCCTTGAGGGGTGAACAGGTACCCCGAGTGCGACGAGGGCGAGCTGACCCACCTCCGCTCCTGCCTGGTCAAGAACCTGCACCTCTCCCGCCTGCTGACCCGCCGGTTCGGCGCCGCGCTGGCGCGCGAGTTTGTGCGCGACGCAAGCGAGGCGCACCGGAGGGCCATCGAGAGCTTCGTCGCCGGCGTGGACACGACCAGCGGCCTGTCCATGCTGGAGGCGCCCTTGCTCACGCCTCGGGGGCCAACGGCGAGAGTGCGGCGCCTCTTCACGGCGCCAGCTGTGAACAGGTGCTCACGCTCACGCGGGAGGCCGCCGCCGCAGACGCAGCGCCGCCGCCGGCGAGCGCGCCGCGCCACGACAGGAGGGGGCACGACTACCGCAAGCCGCTTGGCGACCAGTACGAGGCGATTGTGGGCTTGGTTCTGACCGCGCTGCATGGCGACGTCGACCGGACGTGGGCCGTTTTCCGGAGAGACTTCTTCCCGCCCGAGGCGGAGGCGGCGGAGGCGGCCGACGCGGCGGAGGCGAGAGCGGAGGTGCGGCGGGAGGTGAGGCGGCAGCAGCAGCAGCAGAGGGAGCAAGCCGCAAAGGCAGAGGTGTGCCTGCAGCGGCTTGCCGTCCTCGCCGCGGCGCCTGCCCCGGCGACGGAAGTGGCAGCGGCGCCGGCAGCGAGGACGGCTGCAGCTTCTGCCGATGCTGACGGCGACGGGTCAGCTGCGGCTGCGGCCGCCACGCCAGCGGCCGCCACGCCAGCCGCCACGCCAGCCGCCACGCCAGCCACGGTGTTTACCACGCGGTCTGCTGACGAGGAGGCCAGCGAGGTGTCTTGCATGGAGGCCGAGGCAGCAGCGGCGCCGCAGCAGCGGGCGGCGCACGGCGGCAAGAGGCCGCTGGAGGGGGAGGCGCACGGCGGCAAGAGGCCGCTGGAGGGGGAGGCGCACGGCGGCAAGAGGCCGCTGGAGGGGGAGGCGCACGGCGGCAAGAGGCCGCTGGAGGGGGAGGCGCACGGCGGCAAGAGGCCGCTGGAGGGGGAGGCGCACGGCGGCAAGAGGCCGCTGGAGGCGGAGGCGGAGCAGCCGCGGCTCTGCAAGCGGTGCAAGCGCGACGTGGCCGCCTGCACCTGCCCCACGCAGACGCAGGTTGCACCGCTGCCGGCACCGCCACCTTGGCCGCTACTTCCGTCGGCGCCGTCGTCGTCGGCGTCCGCCTCCGCGGCGGACCCACAGGCGACCTCGGCGCTGGCGCTGTCGGCTCTGGCGCCTGCGAGCCGCGGCGGCGGCCAGCTAGACGCCCTCGCGCAGATGTTCCCTCAGTGCGACCGTGACGTCCTCGCCTCGCTGCTCGCCACCTGCGGCGGGGGGGTCGACAAGGCACGCTCCCCGGATCGCCATCCCTCTCCCCCTACCCTGGATGCGGACCCAGATTCTCCCCATCTCTCCCCATCTCTCACCATCTCTCCGCATCTCTCCCCATCTCTCCCCACCTCTCCCCATCCATCTCCCCACATCTCCCCACATCTCCCCATCTCTCCCCACATCTCCCCACATCTCCCCACGTCTCCCCACGTGAGACGTCTCCCCGCGCGACCCAAAAGCTGCTCTCGAGGCTCTCGAGGTGTGCGGGGAGAGCTCGCACCGGAACGTTGAAGAAGCGCGTGTAGGCGGCCCAGCAGCTTCTCGAGATGTCGGCCCATGTCTCCTCAGCGCTGCCGCCCAAGGCTTCCCCGGCGCCGTCGCCGGCACCGGAGCCGCCGCCGCCGCCGCCGCCGCCGCCGCCGCCGCCGCCGCCGCCGCTGGCGCTGGCGCACGGGGCGGCCTCGAACCCGGTCGGCGCGTTGGAGAGTCTGCTCCGGCAGGATGGCCTAGTACCATACCTCTCGAGTCTCAAACCCAGTGTGGGTTCAGCGCCGTGGGTGGTGCGGTAGGGGGGCATCGAGCCGTCGCGGTTCTTGCGCGCCGAGGAGTCGCTCGCGTCTCCCTTCTGGTGCGTGGTGCGCGTGGACGGCACGGGCGAGGCGTTGGGGCGGAGCGGCGGCCATAGCAAGAAGAAGGAGGCGAAGAAGGCGGCGTACCACGACGCGCTCTCGAGCACGCGGCTGCGCGAGCTGCTGCAGGAGCGACGCGCCGCGGTGCAGACCTCCCTCTCCACCGCAGGAGCGGCGGGCGGCGCAGTCGAGCATCGACATCCCGCCGACTCTTTCGCCGGTGGCGCCGCCGGCGGCACCACCGCGCTCGCCGCCGCCGGCACCACCGCGCTCGCCGCCGAGGTCCGCAGGGCGGCTCTGCTTGCGGACGTGGAGGGGCTGCGCCAGTTTGCGCTGCGGCTGCCCGTGTGCGACGGCGGGCGGGCGCTTGGCGTGGAGCTGGGGCAGGGGGGGGTGGAGGCTGCGCTGCGCGGCGAGGGGATCTTCGAGGAGCTCGGCGAGGGGGAGGGCGGCATGCAGCGCAAGGTGGCCGCCGTCGCAGGCACGGCTCGGCTCGGCCTCCGCTCCCTCTCCCTCCTCGCGCGCAAGGCGGCGGAGCTCTCGCGCCGCGTACGCCCCTTCCCCCCGCGCCACTCTGCGGGCCGGCTCTTCCTCGGCGCGCTCGAGGCGCTCGCCGACGCGTCGCGCCCGCCGCCGCCCGCGCCAGCGCTGTGTGTTGGCGACTGCGTGCGGCTCGTCTGCCTGACGAGCGCGCACGGGGCCCCTCTCAACGGCAGCGTCGGAGAGGCGGTCGTGATCGCGCGAGATTGCCCGAGATCAGCCGAGAGGGCCCCGAGGGTGTAGGCAGAGTCGGGGAGGTGGTCGAGGCGGCTCGAGACCCCGCCTCGCTGCGAGCGGGGCTGCGCAAGCTCAACTGGGGTGCGCTCAAGGCGGAGGCGGAGGCGGACGGGCTGGCCGAAGCGTCGGTGGACGACGCCGGCAACTCTAGAAGCGGAAGACGGACTCTTGTATTCCACCCAGCGCTCGAGAGGACACGCACTCCGCTGTACTCGGCCGCATTCAACTGTATTCGCGCTCTTCGCATCCCTCGTGTTCACGCGGTGCTCTTCCCCCCCCCGCCGCTCCCCACCACTCCCCTCCCCCTCCTCGCCCACGCCCCTCCTCTCACCGCCGAGTACACTGCATGGTCCTCCCGCCCCGAGGCTGGTCTGTTCAGGTAAACGCACAACCCCGGGCCCCGAAATCGCACAGTGATGACAGTGACATGCAACACGGGGTCCCAGGGAAGGCGAGCAAAAACCTTATCGCGCGCTGTTCAGCACGCAGGCCGCCGACCCAAAGGACGAGCTGATTCGCTTGCTTGTGGCGAGGCGGTCGAGGGTGGGCGTGCGGCTGGCGACGGGGGCGCGCAAGGCCGTCCCGCGCTGCAACCTGCAGCTGCTCTGCCTCGGGCACTGCCACCTGGGAGGCATGAGCGAGCCCGCGAGGCTGCTCGCCGTCTGGCTGCAGATGGCCGGCGGCGACCCGTGCGCGCTGACGCGCTGGCAGTCCAACGGCGTGTTCGACCCGGCGCTGTTTCGGCGCGAGCGCGCGGCGGGCGAGGGAGGGGAGGGAGAAGGGGCGCCGCCGCCCTCCCTGTCGTCGGTGCACGCTGCTGATGCCGCCGGTGCTAGCTTTGGCTCCCACGTCTGGCTGTGAACGGCGTCTCTTCACACCTCTAGCCGTGAACAGGTGGGTGGTGCCGGTGGCGACCGGCAGCTGTGAACAGCGTCTCTTCACACCTCTAGCCGTGAACAGGTGCGGGCTGGTTCACGCTGTGCATGCTCGAGGCGCACGGCTACGTAGCTCAAGACTTGGTCGCGGCTACGCGCCTCCCCGCGTAGCGGTTCAAGACTTGGACCGCTACGCGCCTCCCCGCGTAGCGGTTCAAGACTTGACACGGCCACTGCTGCCCCTCTGACGATTGCACACTTGTCTGTGAGGCCTTTCCCGGAGAACGCTCCCACCACCGCCTCGTGTGCAATGCCCCGTGTGTGTGCTCCGCGAGTGCGTGTGCCCCGTCGTCCGTGCTAGGGACGTGTGTGTACCGCTGACTGACTGGCAGGTCACGGCCACGCATGTGCGCCCAATCAGGCGCACGGCTACGAGCTCCCCCTCGGCCTGCTCGCCACATACGCCAGGCTGCGCAGGGAGGTCGGGCCGGAGGGGCGCGGGCTCGACAGCTACGCGGAGCGGCTCGATCTGCTGCGGTCCGCGAGATTGCCCGAGATTGCCCGAGATTGCCCGAGATTGCCCGAGATGGCCCGAGATGGCCCGAGATTGCCCGAGGTTGCCCGAGATGGCCCGAGATTGCCCGAGATTGCCCGAGATGGCCCGAGATTGCCCGAGGTTGCCCGAGATTGCCCGAGATTGCCCGAGATTGCCCGAGGTCTGCCGCGGCCCACGGGTGCGCCAGGCAGGTGCTGCCTCGACACGCTCCACCATGCATCCACAGCCGCCGTTGAGAATCGTCTAGGTCCGCCGTGCGCGGAGGTGCCCGCCCTCGAGCTGTGAACAGCGTCTCTTCACGCCTCTAGCCGTGAACAGGTCCGCCGTGCGCGAGGTGCCCGCCCTCGAGCTGTGAACAGCGTCTCTTCACGCCTCTAGCCGTGAACAGGTCCGCCGTGCGCGAGGTGCCCGCCCTCGAGCTGTGAACAGCGTCTCTTCACGCCTCTAGCCGTGAACAGGTCCGCCGTGCGCGAGGTGCCCGCCCTCGAGCTGTGAACAGCGTCTCTTCACGCCTCTAGCCGTGAACAGGTCCGCCGTGCGCGAGGTGCCCGCCCTCGAGCTGTGAACAGCGTCTCTTCACGCCTCTAGCCGTGAACAGGTCCGCCGTGCGCGAGGTGCCCGCCCTCGAGCTGTGAACAGCGTCTCTTCACGCCTCTAGCCGTGAACAGGTCCGCCGTGCGCGAGGTGCCCGCCCTCGAGCTGTGAACAGCGTCTCTTCACGCCTCTAGCCGTGAACAGGTCCGCCGTGCGCGAGGTGCCCGCCCTCGAGCTGTGCGGCGCGCACGACGACCGCGTGCGGCGGCGTGTCGACCTGCACGACTCGCCCCCGCCGTCGGCGCACCTCGCTGCCGGTGGCGACGGCGACGCAGCCTCCCGCCCCACGGCCCACGCGCGCGCGTTTCTTTTTTACCGCCGGATGTCTGGTTTCTCTAGCCGACAGCCCGTACAGCCCGGGTGCTGACGACGACGACGACGAGTGCGCTGACGGCGACACCGAGCCGGCCGGCGGCTGGGGCGGCGCCGAGGGCGGTGGCGAGGCTGGGGGCTTGGGAGCGGCGGAGGAGGAGGCTGCCTCCGCCGCCACCTTCGAGGCGATGCTGCTCCCGTGGGCGGCGGAGGAGGCTCCACGTGTCGTGGCGCTGCCGCGGCGGATCGACTACCTCAACGTGATAAGCGAGGCGCTCGGAGGGGGCGGCGCGCTCGGCGTGCACGCGCGCTGCGAGGGGCAGGCGGACCTCGGTGTGGCCTCGCGCCCAACGGCGTCTGTTCACACCTCCGAGCCCTGCCACTGCTGTGAACAGGTGACGCGCCAGCCCATCCTCTACTTTCTCGTCGGGCCGCGCCTCGCCGGCCGGCGCAACGAGCTCGCCTCGCGCGTCGCTGGCCTCGAGGTGTGCGGCGACGCGCTGCTCGCCGACGCTAGGGTGGTGCGCGCCGAGGCCGCGCGCCGCGGCGCCGGAGGCGGCGTCGGAGGTGGCGTTGGAGGCAGGGCGCAGCTGTCCCTCCGCTGCGGCGGCGCGGCGCTCTACGAGTCCTTCCTCGCCCAGCATGGGGCGGGGCTGCTCGGCTTTGTCGTCGGCTGCACGGGCGCGCCGCTGCTCGGGCAGTGGGCCTTGCCTCGCTTCGAGGCGTGGCCGAGCGAGCGGCCGCCGCAGACTGTGCTGCAGGAGTACCTCGAGCGGCGCGGCTGCTGGTGCAGAGTGCTCTCCGAGCGCGCGTAGTAGTCAACTATGAGTCACTAAGAGCGAATCACTAATCAGGTGCAAAGTGCTCTCCGAGCCCGCGTCCCTGCCCGCCGAGCCGGGCCAGCCCCCTCCCGACTTCTTCGTCGGCCGGTTGGCGACCGACGCGACGCAGGCGGGCCTGGACAACCTCGGGCCATCTCGGGCCACCTCGGGCCACCTCGGGCCATCTCGGGCCATCTCGGGCCACCTCGGGCCACTTCGGGCCACCTCGGGCCACCTCGGGCCACTTCGGGCAGCCTCGGGCCACCTCGGGTCACCTCGGGCCAGCTCGGGCCACCTCGGGCCACCTCGGGCCACCTGGCCACCTCGGGCCACCTCGGGCCACCTCGGGCCATCTCGGGCCATCTCGGGCCACCTCGGGCAGCCTCGGACCATCATCTCGCGTGCGCGTCGCAGGCGGGCGTGTTTGTCGGCACGGCGCTGCCGCAGGGCGCGTGGGCGGGGGAGGGCGGCGTGGTTGAGCTGCGGGGCCCTCCGTGCCGCAGCAAGCGCGAGGCGGAGAGGAGCGTCGCGTACGCGCTGCTGCAGGCCGCGCTGCCGCAAGCGGCAGATTCGCCACCGCCGCCGCTGCTCGTCGAGTCGGTGACGCTTCTCACCGCTGACGGCGGCGGCGGCGGCGGCGGCGGCGGCGGCGGCGGCGGCGGCGTAGGCGGCGGCGGCGTAGGCGGCGGCGGTGGCGTAGGCGGCGGCGTGGCGCTCGAGGCGGGAGGCAGCGTCGAGGTGTCCTACACGCTGCAGCTCGAGCCGGACGGCAGCGGCGGCGTCGGCGCGACCCTGGAGGTGCAGCGGCGGCTCTGCGTCCTGCTTGGCGGCGGACTCCTCCACCCAGAGGTGGAGGGGCTTCTCGCGGATCTGGGGGCGGCGTGGGCAGCGCGCGCCGCCCCCGCCGGCCCGGAGTCTGCCGCTGGCAGCGGCGAGGCGGCCCTGCATGTCGAGGCGGCTTTGCGTGTGGTCTACCGCGGGAAGCGGCGGCGGTGCAGGCTGTGGCTGCAGCTGCACTCGGCGACAGCGGCGGAGGAGTTTGAGTGCGTCGCGGCGCGCGACGGCGGGCCATCGCTGGGCGCCCTGCGGATAAACTACGTGTGCGAGCTGCTGCGCCAGCTGAGCCCGGCCAGCTTGTGCGACGTGGGCTGCGGCGAGGGGCGGGCCGGCACTGCAGCCCTCGTGGGTGGCGTCTCTTCACAGCTCGAGCCGTGAACAGGCGAGGGGCGGCTGATATGCAGCTTGCTGCGCGGAGGCGGCGCGCCGTCGCTGCGGCGGGTCGTCGCCAACGACGTCAGCGCGCGCGCGCTGCGTCGCTGCGGCGAGAAGGCGCGCCCCGAGGTGGCCGCGCCGTGCAGGCAGCGCCTCTTCACGCTTCCGGCTGTGAGCAGGTGCGCGCGGCGCTGGCGGCGCGCGCAGGCGGCGGCGCGCCGTCGGCGGAGCTGGAGTTCGAGTTGCTCTGCTCCCCAGTCTCTGAGCTGCGGCTGGCAGCAGGCTGCGATGTCCTGACGCTGGTCGAGGTCGTGGAGCACCTCGACCCTCCCGAGCTGCAGCGGCTGGGCGCAGTTCTGCTCGGCCGGTGCCTAATCACTCATTCATGGTGAGTCCTCAGCAAGTAGCCATAAAATAGGCGCGGCGCTGCTCGGCCGGTGCACATGCACATGTCCGGGACACGTCCGAGCCATGTCCGAGACATGTCGCATAGGCGCGGCGCTGCTCGGCCGGTGCGCGCCGCGCGCCCTCATCGTCACCACGCCAAACAAGGAGCACTCGCACCGCCCACCCACCCGCACACGCGCACCGGGCCTTGCACTTTCAATCCACGCGCGCCGGGCCTTGCACTTTGAATGCCGTGTGCGGCTCCTGTCGCTCACGGGGAGTCGCGAGGGTCGGTTCGGCCCTTGCCCCACCACCCTCGTTGTGTGTGTGGAGGAGCGTACCTCACACCTTACCTTAGGAGCACAACCTCATATCTCCCCATATCTCCTCATCTCGGTGGGGGAGATACCTTAGGAGTACAACCTCAACCTGATGGTCACATGCTCGGAGGAGGCGCGCGGAGGCGCCGTTTGCCGCTCTCTCCCCCTATCTCCCCCTATCTCCCCCTATCTCCCCCTATCTCCCCCTATCTCCCCCTATCTCCGCCTATCTCCCCATACCTCCCCATATCTCCCCATATCTCCCCATACCTCCCCATACCTCCCCATACCTCCCCATACCTCCCCATATCTCCCCATATCTCCCTATATCTCCCCATGGAGGCGCCGCGTGCCGCGGCCGCGGCGGCGCAGGGCTGACGCTGGACGAGGTGCGGGCGCGGAGCAGGCGCGGCCAGCTCTGCAAGGGCTGCTGCACGTACACGTCTCTGCTCAGCGGCGCTCCTCCGCCGCCGCACGCGCACTACCCGCTGCGCAACAAGGCGAGACTGCCCGAGACTGCCCGAGATTGCCCGAGATTGCCCGAGATTGCTCACCACCCGCCGCGCAACAAGGAGCGCGGACGAGCCGAGATGAGCCCAGAGTAGCACTCACCGCCGCCGCCTCGAGTGGACGCGCCGTGCTTGATTGCCGAGTGGACCATGGCTCATACGTTACAGGACCACCGCTTCGAGTGGACGCGCGCCGAGTTCCGCGCGTGGGCGGAGGGGCTCGCCGCCGAGCACGGCTACTCCGTCCGCTTCGACGGCGTCGGCGGCGGCGCGTGGGACGAGGAGCGGCAGCCTGGCGCGCCCTGCCACGGGCCGGGGCCCTCCTCGCAGGTCGCCATCTTTGAGCGGCCCGCGGGGCTGCGAGAGCAGATGTGAGAGGGAGAGGGCGTGGGAGCTGGGAGAGAGGCGGCTCGTACGTAAAGCCGTACCGCCAGAACACGGGTTTTTCGCTTTACTTGTTTGTTGTAACTCTGTCTCTGACCGAGGTGGGCTTTCGGCTCCATTCGCACAGCGGTGCCCCACGCGGCGCGTAGGGCGAGGATGAGGCGTCGAAGCGTGTACTTGTGTCTGGTGTTGTGGCCCTGCTGCGGTACGTTGACAGCAGCGTCGCCATACTCGTCGTGGGTCTTCCCATTCCGAGTCTTCTTGCCCGCCGCCGCGGCCTGGCAGGCCACGTCGAGGGGGAGACCCAGGCGGCGCTGCACCGAAAGAGACGCATCTCCATTCGCATATCATCCCGCATGGGGATGGCGTTGAGGAAGGCGCCGGCGCCATCCTGGCTCACCGCCACGAAGCGGACTGCCTCCCGCCAAGCTGCATGCTTCGCCCGCTCCCTGCCCTTGGCCTGCGCCTTGCCCTTCTTGCCGCGAGGAGCAGACCGCGATCCCGCGGAGCCCTCCTTGGCGAGCTCCACGGCGAGGTCGCGCCAGTTCCTGTTGTGGACCACCGTCGTGAAGCGCCGCTGCGCCTGGTGTAGGAACTCGTGCTTGGACGTGAACTCGGCGAGGGGCAGCATCTCCTTGGCCTCGACGAGAGTATGCGGCCGGAAGCGCGAGAGCGAGCGCGCGCCACCCTTGTAGCCGGCTCCGGCGGCCGCGCGGAGGCGCGCAGCTTCTCGCCCTCGTCGGGCTCGTCCCACGGCTCCACCTCGACTTCCGGGGGCCTGCCTGTCGTACCGCCAGCCCATCTTGACGGGCAGGCGCGCCTGCTTGCGCGCGCGCTCCCAGCGTGTGCCGGCGGCGCCGACCCGCGCCCCGCCGACGAGCTTGTATAGCGCCGTGTCAATCAGCTCGTCGTGCCTCTCCGCTGCCGGGAGGGTGACCGACGGCGGCATGGCGCGAAGGAAGAAGGTGAGCGTCGTGTTGCTGCAGAAGCGCAGCAGGACCTGCATCACCTGCTGCGCCGTGTGGATCTCCTTCGTGTCAAAACCAAAAGACATTAACAACGAAGGCGTGAGTGAGTGAGTATTCTTGATACGAAACCACGACGACACACACCAGTCGACTCGCATCGGTTGCCTCCATGAACGGCGGAGCTATTCTCGCGCCCACACCACACCTGGCTCCAACGTGGACACGCCCATAGCTGGGGACACTACTAGGTCACGCATGGCATCAGAAGTTTTATCTCTGGGCCCCGAAAGGCATCTCTAGCAGTGTCGTTACGCATGCGCCCTCCCCTCCTGGGCGCATGCGCCTCACGTCTCGCCAGAGCATAAGCCCTTGGCGTGCCACGAGACGAGTTTTTCGCCATGCAGCGAGCAGCAAGCCGCCCGCCGCAAACAGCCGGAGGCCTCGCCGCGGCACTGGCTGCGCCGCGGTCCCGCACCCGTCGACGCAGCTCCCCCCGCGGAAGACCGCGCGTAGCGACGCCTTGACGATCGAGATGAGCGTGCCTGAAGCTCGCCCACCTACTGCCCCTGAGAGTTGGTTACGAGTGGGATCAGCTCCCCCCCTTGGGATCGAAGCCGCCACAACCTCACACCCAACATCCCAGGCGGGATCAGAAGGGGACTCCACACCGGACACCGCCCGGGCACAGCCCCTACCCGTCGGATTGCACAGGGCCCCCTCGGAGCAGCCCACACACAATCACACATCGGCAGAATTAGTGCCTGAGTCAGGCAGACAGCACAAACAAGGAGAGGAGAGGAGAGAGAGAGAGAGGAGAGGGGAGAGGGTGAGGGTGTGAGCACACGTGTGGAGCAGGGAGGGTGTCTGTGGTGGGTTGTAGTCATACTACGTGGTTAGAACCACGCGCCCCTCAGGAGCTAAGGTAGAGCTGAGCGTACAAGACGCCTCGGTGCCTCCCACCGGCGTGAAGACCATCCGGATCTATCGGGTTCGCCCTCCGGACGGACCCGTCCCCGCGATGGCCCACGGTCCTCCGTCGCCAGGTCGAACCCCCTGCCTCCCAGTTGACCCCCAGTCCTCGTAGTCGACCATTAAATAAACTCAAAGGTCCACCACAGCCTCCAGCCTCCACCTCCACCCGCGAGCCGCCACCGCTGCCGCCCGCACACACACACAACGAAGGCGCTCTCAAAAACATTTCAAAAAGAAATGGTAGCCGTCACTTTCCTGCCTCGAAAGGGCGGGGCTGTCCCGGAAAGTGAGAGACGCCGGGCAGCGTGGCGCACAACTGAACCCTCCCATACGTGTTCGTGGCTCCTCCTTCGCTGTCCCTTCTCCTCATCTCTTTCCCGCCTGGGCGGGGCAGTGGGCGGGCGCGCGGTGCGGCGTGGCGTGTGCGTGTGTGCGACTGCAACGAAGGACCGCTAGCGAGGGACCATTGGGTTTGTACTATTAACAACGAGGTAGGTAGGTAGAAAGGTGAAGAACAGCGAAGGCGCTCTCAAAAAGAATATAAACAAAAGAACTCTCTCTCACAGCACACAGGCTCGACACAGGTGCGAACTGGCGCGTGCTAGTACTATCACCGGCACACAAAAGAATTCTTAGGATACAAGCCTCTCTCACAGCGAGAGAGAGAGAGAATTCTTGATACGAAACCACGACGACACACACCAGTCGACTCGCATCGGTTGCCTCCATGAACGGCGGAGCTATTCTCGCGTCCACACCACACCTGGCTCCAACGTGGACACGCCCATAGCTGGGGACACTACTAGGTCACGCATGGCATCAGAAGTTTTATCTCTGGGCCCCGAAAGGCATCTCTAGCAGCGTCGTTACGCATGCGCCCTCCCCTCCTGGGCGCATACGCCTCACGTCTCGACAGAGCATAAGCCCTTGGTGTGCCACGAGACGAGTTTTTCGCCATCGCCGCGAGCAGCAAGCCGCCCGCCGCAAACAGCCGGAGGCATCGCCGCAGCACTGTCTGCGCTGCGCTCCCGCACCCGTCGACGAAGCTCCCCCCGCGGAAGACCGCGCGTAGCGACGCCTTGTCGTTCGAGATGAGCGCGCTCGAAGCCCGCCCACCTACTGCCCCTGAGAGTTGGTTACCGAGTGGGATCAGCTCCCCCCCTTGGGATCGAAGCTTCCACGACCTCGCACCCAACACCACAGGCGGGATCAGAGAGAGACTCCGCACCGGACACCGCCCGGGCACAGACCCCCTACCCGTCGGACAATGCCTGGACCCCTCACAGAGCGGCCCACACACAGATCACGCATCGGCAGATTTCACGCCTGGATCAGGCGTAGACAGCACACACTGGTCACAGTTGCATAGCCCTGCCGGGGGGGACGAGTTCGCAAGGTTAATATTGAAGAATACAAAGTGGTGACAACCACTGAGTTCTCAGTGGACGACGAGCGTCGACTGAACAGAAGAGCGTCCCCGCGACGTCTCTCTCTCTCTCTCTCTCTCTCTCTCTCTCTCTCTCTCTCTCACAGCACACTGGCGACAAGGGCGCGGACACAAAAGAAATCGCTCCGCGTTGGGGGTGCACTCACACCAAAGACGGGCTGCCTGGGGTGTCTCCGCCCACCTTTGCCAGCGGAGGCCATGGAGCCCGCCGAGCCCAACACGGCGACGCCAGAGAAGAGCACAAAGCGCCGAGCAAAGCGGGCCGACAATAAGATTGACACATGGTTCAAGGCGTGCGCCGCGATACGTGCAGAGCAAGCACTTGCTTCCCACTCGCCACCTGCCCGTACTCCCCCCTCTCACCACGGGTATTCCAAACCCACAAAAGCCTCCTATTGCTGCCGGCGCGTCGAGTGCTTCCGCACGCCGCCAACCTGCCACCGCCTCCCATTCCCCGCCGCCATCACCGTCCCACCACCGCCATCGCCACTGCTGCCGGCCGCCACCATTGCCACCACCGCCACCGCCGTCGCCCCTGACGCAAGGGCTCTCGCGTCGACAAGTACTTCAAGGTCACCGAGCGCGGCTCCAACTTTACCACCGAGTTCATCGCCGGTTGCACGACCTTCCTGACTGCCTGCTACATCATGGCGGTACCTCTCCCCACGCCTCTCCACGCCTCTCCTGCCACCCCTCCCCACGCCAGGGCACACACGACATCCAAACGACCAACCACAACAGCAAGCGCACCCGCCACATATGACACGTCTGAAGGCTGCAGAAAAGGGCGGGGAGCCCGCCGCCTCGAGTACCCCCACCTCTCCTAGCGAGGTGCCCGTGTGTGCCTACCGTGTGTGTGCCTACCGCGTGTGTGCCTTCTCAGGTGAACCCCAACATCCTGTCCGTGACGGGGCTCAACTACGAGGGCCTCGTCTTCGCGACCGCCATGTCCTCCTGTGTTGCCACGCTGATCATGGGTCCGTGTCTGAACAGCTATGCCCCCAGGGAAGGGGGGGGGGGCGGTGTGAGGGTGATGCCCACACCGAAGCCGAGCGCTGCATATGCGTGGCCGCTGCCCAACCACCTCGCGGCGCGTGGAGAAGCGAACCTCCCCTCCCCCGTCCCTCACCGTAGGCTTGTGGGCCAACCTCCCCTTCGGGCTCTGGCCGGGGATGGGCATGAACGCCTACTTCGCCTACACGATCGTCGGCTTCAAGGGCACCCTCACGCCCGTCAAAAAGGCGAGAAGCCCCCGGAGAAGCCTCCCCCCCCCCCCCCTCTGCCGTTCTCATAGTGGACGGTGTCCCTAGCGGTGTCCGTTTCATTCATCTCTCTCTCTCTCCTTTCACCGCAGGTGATGTTCGCCGTGCTGATCGAGGGCGTCGTCTTCATGGCCACACATCCGCGCTCGCGTTGTCGCGCCGCTGCCGGGGGCTGACTGACGTTGACCTGGCTGCCGGTTCCTCACACAGGTCGCGCGCCCGACCCTTGCGCCGCTTCACGCCCGCAGCCAGTCGCTGACTACGGAGGCGTGTCGATCCTCGGCAGGTGATGTCCGCGCTCGACGTGCGCCGGTACATCATGAAGACCTTCCCGCGCTGGCTGATGTCGGCGACGATGGCGGGCATCGGCCTCTTCCTT